ACCGCTGCCCCAGGAATTGCCCGAAACCGGTTGGTTCCCGGTTCGGTCGGTCCATTTTGCTCACCCCTACTTTCACGTGCATCCCGTAAAGCTTCGTCGTGGAGTGACGTGATCCCTGAAATAACTTTGAGTGGGAGACATTGAGATTCGAATTCAAGAGTTCGATTAGTGCATCCAAACCAGACGACTCGCCGCTCAATCGACTTTCTAGGGGTTTAAAAAAGTTTCGAGGTAACCTTACTCCTCGTGCTCTCGAGGGAGTCAAATGCAAACGGGGACCCGTCAGCGAGGGTCGAATGGCAAACCGATCGCGAGAGCATGGATCAAAACGAAAAAGATTAACCAAGTGAAGGGGCAAAAGGTGTTGGCACTTTTCCCTTTTCTCTGCCACCCCCTCCTCCCTTCATCCTCCTCCTCCTCTTCCTATCCTCTCCTTTCCCCTTTCTGAAACGAAGAGCGATGCCAAGTTAGGGAGATTTCAATTCCCATGACATCACCAGATTCTGTTTGTCCCTCTGTCTTTGTCGTGCAACAAAGCGGAAAAGCCCCAACCCCAAGAACGGATGATCACCGAAGGGCGTGAACAGTCCGCACGAAGCGTCGCCATCCCAACATAGTGAAAAAGGCAAAAGGAAACTCTCCCCCCCACGAGTCGCTGCCGAGCCCCGCCGGACCCCCCCCCGTTATCCACTTCCGCGGGCCACCACGAACCGCCCAAGGGATCGAGCGGCCCCGCCCGATATGTAGCCCGAGACAGCTTCGGTCTAAAAGCTCTGCACTTTTTCAATCTTTTTGAACATGACTGATTGAGCGGACGTTTGATGATCAAGGCCCCAATCAATGCCAAACGGGAGAAACGGAGAGAAAGTTATATTCCGTTGCCGCGGTTGGGTAGCCCCGACACGACGCGAACCGACCGACCGATCGCCTCGTTCGCCGCGATACGACACCCATCTCGGTCGATTTTAGCATTCGAATCCCGGGTTCTGCTAACATAACAATTTTTGAGCCACCGTTAGAGTAACAACTTAAGGGAATTGACCGCAACAGTGTATAATTATTTGTTATCTATCTTTTTGTGATTCGGAACATGTTGTTAATCTCACGGTAGATTAAGCAGTATCACTTAGTCATTTCTCGATCCCGAAAGCTCTTGCATGTCGTTGACTTGCTTCTTCACGCGTCGCTGTCGCGCGGCGCGGAAAGCAGCGCGCCGTGTAAACGGGGGCGTGGAAATTTCCCCTGTTAGTTATCAGTTAAATATGGTGGAAAAGCGTACGAAAGAGGTCGAGAGAGCCTGGCTTGTGGGCGACATGCATTGTCAAGAAAGCAACGTGGGAATTGTTCTTTGTGGACTTTCCTCCATCCATCCATCCCACCATGGCGTCGGATCGATACAGAGAACACGGGAACTTGCGGAGAGTTCGCCCTTTACGTGGAAAAGGACCAGCATTGACTATACTCTGAGAAGTCTTTCCCCATGTGATCGACTCGATAACTATGGGGCGATCTTCGCTGCGGTTTCGTGGTTGGGAAAGACAAGTCAGGGGGCTCGTGCTTAGACATAGGCTAGTAGGACAATTAATCGTCCAACGTAGGGAATGCGTAGCTGATGTCTGATTTCCCGTTCCGAGAAGATCATCACGAGCGAGTTTTAAGTCCTAATTTGAGCACTCTCGATACATTTAGTTGGTCCTATATCGATTGAAAAGCCGTTGAATCACGTGCCACTGTATATTAGTCGGTCCATCCCTTGTTAATTACCCGATGCTTGATTGCCCGTCACTAAGGCGCTTGCACGTGCGTGTTAGCGTGTCTCCACTCTTACGCATGAGCCTTGCGTGTTAGGCCATTCTTAATTAGGTATCTTTCTGTATCGATATATCTCGTTAATATATCATGTGCGATACCTTCATCGCTAAGTTGGATGGAAAGGGATCGTGTAAAGCTATACGCGGGTACTCAAAAGTCAAAACCAACCTCCATAGTCACTACTAGAATACTTTCTTTCACAGGTTTTGTCGTTTGAAATGGGTTTGGTAGTTACAAACCGCGTATGGAAAAAAAAATCCACACCCTGGTGGCTGTGTGATCATTGAATAGATTAGCTCTTTAGGCTACGTTTGATAGACATGATAAAATTCAGGATATGATATCCAGTATTTGGTTCATCCTCAAGACAGGATAAAGGGCGCGTTTGGAAACTGTTTTGCCAAGGGACTTTGGGCTCTAAATTCTCTTGGGCAAATACAAATATCGTTTGACGAATTTTTTGGAAAGTTATGAAAAGATTCAATTGCATTTCTTAAAGCCTTTGATCCAAGGCAGGTTCGAAAGTGCTTTGAGCATTTCTTGAATGCAAGTACATTTTTTTTCTTTCGACTTTACCTTTGCTCAACTTTCATAATTCCAGAAATCTCCCTACTCACGCAATGTCATGAGCGAGGGTTCAGGCTGCCAGTGGGCCACCAGCGATGCCAATATTTAGCGCCGGGCTGCCTCGCTTGAGGTCGCGCATCCCAGGCGATGGTTGCCTAAGGTCGCGTGACCTTAGGCTCAGTTGGCTAGAAGACAACTAGGCTCTTCGGTGGCTGAGTTCTTTGAGAATTTAAAAAAAAAAAAATGGCAAAAGTCATTTAGAACGTAGTTTTTTCCAAACGGTATTTTAGTCAAAGTTGCTTTCCGACATGTTTTTAAAATATACTTTACCAAACACTATTTGCATTTTGGAAAAAGCTCTTTCACCTAAAGTCCTTTGCATTTTCCCAAAAGCTATTCCCCCAAATATTTCCAAACGCACCCAAAGTCAGATATACGGGGATATAACGCAGATAAAAATATTCGACAAGGGAGACGATATAAAGATGGATAAGATTTCTTATATCTATAGTATAAAAACTATATTTCTCGAATAACAAACTTCTTAAATTAATAAAATTGGAATAATAATTAAATATAAATAATATTTGAATTCTAATATAAATTTCAAAATAAAAAAGTGACATTTTTTCATTTTTATTTATAAAAATGAATTTCTTTCTAACCTATATTCTATATTTAATATATATTTGGTATTTATATTTATTGCATATTTTAGGTATTTTAGTATATTAGGCATATTAGTATAGTTTATTATTTAATGAAATTTTATTAAGGAATGATGGAAGATAATAAATAAGAAATAAAAAAGGGAAAATTAATAAAAAAAATAAGTAATCATAAGATGAAGTAAATTTTATTGCATATTTTTGGAATTGTGAAAGTGAATGATCATGCCTTCTCTCTCGCTAGAGTTGGCATTCGTTGGCTAATCTACCTCATCAATAGTGCTCTAACCTATTTACATTTCTTATCATAGTTAAACCTCTGGCTCTAAAATGCCGTAATAAGCTTCTTTGCTGTTTAAGATTAGATCGTACGATAGCCGTGTTGATGGAGGTTATCTCCATTTGTGCATTCGCGATTTCTTTAGCAATGGATCGTGAGAGATTCTTATCATTTCATTTGTTCATTTGTAGGTTCATTCACATCGATATGCTGTTCATACCAAACATGAAATTTACATGATAAGATATGAAAATATCTGACTTTATTATCGCGATTTACCAAACAGTTGACTGGGTATGGTAAAATCCCTGAATTTCCAATCCTATCCTATCCTATCCTATTCTGGCTAAAAATCCAGATGATCAAATATAACCTTAGTCGATCGGGAGAGAAGGGGGAAGTGCCGGCTGAAGGGGAAGACTCAAACGAGCGGTGGTTTGTAACGGGCTTATGCAATCAGGGAGGCAACTTTGCAATCAATCATACATCGGATGAGCGGGGCGGGAGTGTCGATGAGCAATTATCGCCGAAGGAGTTCGAATGCTCTAAATGGTCGGACATGAACCATCAAAGCTAGCATGCCACCGATGAGGCGATCATGTGATAGGACAGTATTGACCGGAGATAGACTTTGGACGGTAACTTTAATGGTTTTTGAGCGCGTGCCTTGCGTCCTATCAAAGCATCAAAGGTGCATTATGATCGTGATCGAGAAATTTGTGCACCAAGTCTTTTTCCCAAGAAATGGACGTCGCTTAGCTTGATATAGTATCAAAGCAGTGCTTTAGCGATGCCCTCTGAAATTAAAGCCAGCTTTTTTTTCCAACATAGGAGAAGCTAAGACAGCTACCTGGCAACCTATACAAGACCAGCTATTGCGTCTAGATTCTGTTTTCGAACGAGGAACACGGAAATTTCGACATGGGACAACGGCTGTCTCGTAAAATTTAATCGAGTCGTTCGTCGGGGAGCCGAATTTGATTTGGTTTTTTGGAGTTACGATTAACAAATCGAAGAAAAATCTGTTCCGACAGCTCGATGCGTTTTTGAAAAAAGCGACGTCCTTCACTCTTTTTTCCGGAAAGAAACGATCCGGATATCTTGTCGGAATCTGTCACGCATCAAAGGATAAGTCCGGTTATTGAATTGAGGAGCATGAATGGTTTTGTGGCGAGAGAGAACGAAACTGGTCGGGATCGAATTATTATTGGCATTTTTTTTTTGTTATTACCGCAGCTACGTCGCGAAACCGAATTTGGAAAATGGACGCGGGACATACTCGTTTCCCTCTCGTATTCTCCTATGTTTTTTCCTACTCCTTTCGTCTCCGGTATACTCTAATTTGCTTTTTTTTTTGTTAAATATTAGGTCATAACATAGTTAATAATATTAGTTATTGAGCTTAATGAGCTCTTACTATGCTTCATCTCGACCAAAATGGGAATGCGAAATAATCAAGTTTTATTCCATTTCATCCTGGGGAGAAATGCCAGGCCTAGACCGAACCGATTCGGTTCTTTCTGGGCCGATCTCTACTGGATCCAGGCCCAGGCCCAGGCCCGCTACGTTCTGGGCGGGCCGAGCTCCGGACGCGGGGCCCGTTCAAGAGCGGCGAGGAACCCGGTCGAACCGGTTTATCGGGCCGGTTTATCAACTCAAAACTGACCCGCGCTCCGTCATTTCGCCGCGCTCCGCCGTCCGGCGACCACCGATGATGGCTCTCTGTTCATAACGCTCGAACGCCACCATCCCTCTACAGTCCACACTGCGCTCGCGGCGATGGAGTCGTACGCTCCGCTTCTGGAGAAGCTCCGGCTCCCGCAGCCTTCTCTCCAGAGGCTCGCCGTCATCTCCGTCTTCTCGAAGCTCCGATCCGCTCCCAGCCGCCTCGACTCCGACTCCGGGCCCGGGCGCGAGGCCGTCACGCAATGCCTCTGCTCGGCTTCGTCCGCGGTCGTCGACCAATCCGTGCGCGAGCTGTGCCGGCTCGTCGCCGACTCGAGAATGGACCTCCCCCGCGGGCTGCTGGAGCTCCAGTCCGCCCTCGAAGGATCGGAGCCGAGGTTCGTCGGTCTCTTCGTGAGAGGGATCGGGCTCCTGGTCCGACTAGGATTTCGGAGGAGCGGCGGCTCGTGGCGGTTCGCCTCGACGGAGGCTCATCCTTTCGTCAAGGTGCGAGAAACAAGTCAGCTTTTGTTTTGGACTGGAGTTGTGTGGTCCGAGAGTGACTTTACCGTTGGTCCGAATTCTCATTTTACTGAGGATTTTTTTGCGTCTTGATGCAACGCGAATCATGATGACAGGTTCTTTTGTACCGAGCTGAGGCCCGAGATGAACTCGTGCGACAGGTGTTGTCGTTTGCGGTGCAGAGCAAGCAAATTGGCATGGAGGAAGTGTGTGAATTCTTGAGACCGCTTCTGGACTATTCGATTTTGAGAGTACCGTTTTCGGACTCCTCATCGGCTTTGTTCGCGAGGCATCTGTTGACATCGATGGCATCGCTTTGTTGCTCATTGCCTGATGATGGAATCCCTATACTCAAGCTTTTGATTCGATGTATGAAGTATTTCCCACACAAGAATGGTGATGTGAGTGTTTATATTCGGGAGAAAGTGGACTTATTTTGATTCATTTGCATCCATTATACTGTTGACCCCCCTTCGCTCTATCTCTATCTCACACACACACAATTTGCCCGAATGCAGACAATTAGTTTATTAACTAGCAGAATATCTTCAGGATTTCGGGAGCTTAATGGATTTTGCTGGGCACATGGTGGATGCATTTATAGTTGTTTTGAGGCATTTTGTTGCAGCGCAAATGGTATGTCAGGGCCTCAGTTAACCTTGATTTTCCAATCCTCTCTCATTGAGCTGTATAGTTCCTTAATCAGTAAATGTAATTATGAGGCAAATCCCAGGTTAATATACCTCTTCTCCTTTGATTTCGCATCGTCTTATATTTTTGGCGATAGTATGATGGCAACTTTCATTTTACCGTTGAGACCTCCCTGTGTCGAATATATAGACTAGCCATTCCGAATTGTTCACTTGCTAATCATTCGTTCTCTTCCATAATCAGGACAAACACAAAAATACTCCTGTGTCCTGTCTTGCGTTAACAAAATTTGGATTGTTTAGTAACTTTGCGAGCATGATTGTGGATGATTTCAAAGCTTTTTAGGGCTTAAGTTGATATTTGAAACATGGGGTACCGTTCAGTAAAAACTTAATTGGGTTGTCTCCCTGAAACTCACCTACTCATTGCTAATTCTGTCCTTTCTTTTGCTCAACAGCTGGTTTCCGAAATTCAACTTTGTGGAGTGCAGCTTTTGGAGACTGTTCTTCAGTTAAGCATCCATCCTCTCAAGCACTCTAGATGGAGTGAGCCCGCTGTTGAATTGACAAAGCGCTTATTGCTTGTCCAGAAAGATCTTGGTCTGAGATGCACGCATGAACTAACGTCAATCAGTTTGTCCTTGTTCACTGTTCTAGTTCAATCAGAACTTGAACACGAACAAATTTCAGTACTGAAAGTCATCCTCCGTCTTTTGAAGTGGAAAACTGATTCAGGTAGCAAGCTTTATCATGTCTACCATCGTATGTTGTCCTTGATAGAAGGATTTCAGGATTGTGCTTGGGTGGTCTATACATTAGCGTTGACTACTGAAAATGTCATGTTATTTACTGTATTTATCAGATTCGTGCCCTTTACCTCGGATGACTTGAAATTAACTTCAGGACGACGGTCGTCAATTCTCTAGGCCGGCATTTTTGGGTACTTATATTGGCTTGAGAAAAATCCTCTTTCAAGTAGTGGTCATTTTGGGGTTGGGATTGTCAGAAAAAGGAGCTAGGATAGCAATCAATAATGTTTTGAAAATGTTGAGTTAAGAACTGAGACTGAACAGCTGATATTTTTCAGAATTCCGTGTTCTATTGTGCTTGATATATTGACAATATACACTGGATATCAATTTTCACTCTCTGTTGAATATATCTAATGGGTTTGCGAACTCATTCTATGCTTCGGAAGAGGAATACATGGGCAGTGCTAAACAGTAAAAGGTGGATGCTATTTACTGTTCTTAGACTTAAGCGAAAGAAATGGTGATTATTCGCTTTCTGGATATTTTTTTCCTGTTTATGAGGTTACTTTTTGTGTTAGAGACCTCAAATTTTTTCTCTCTTGTTTTTGGCCAACTTTGGTTGTTACATTTGAATAAATAACTTAATCATGCATGTAGTTCGCTCCATCATGTCTTTCTTACTTTGCTGTCTATTTGTGTTAAAGGATATGTGGATGGTAACTCTGGATGTGCTGCCAATGAAGAGCTCTTATTCATATTTCCAGCTATCAGTCTCATGTCATCACCTTCTAATTCCATCAAAGAAGCAGCAGGTGAATTGATTGTCATATTGCAAAAAACGATAGAGAAACCACTGATAGTACTGAAGAATGACATTCCCATTAAAGAGCAATTTCAATCAGTCAGCATACCCGGAAAAATAATGTTTAGGCTCTTGCAGCAACTATGGTCACAGGTTTCCTCTTTTCTTCTCGAACCCATGGTTCTTTTTCTTTTGTTTATGTTTAAACTCATAACATATCTTTTCAACTTTTCTATGTTAAACAATAGAAAATTCGAAGAAAGAATTTTAGATGCTGGTATTTTATGTGATGGTTTAGCTGGAATCACGAGGCTAAATAGATTCACAGTTCATGCCAGAGTGAAGGTTCATCATTCCCTTAAAATTTTGTATCATTGGGTTGATGCATCTTTTTCTGTGCTTGCGATTTCTCATGCATGATAAGGAATAGGTGGATAGTTTGTTAGCACATAGGAAGACAATTTTCGTTCCTACAGTTGACAAGTGCCATATGTTGTTCTCCTTTCTCATTTCAGGATCCATCCTCATCATCAAAATTCTTTATTGAGACTTTTGCTTCCTCTGGGACAATTGAATCTGAAGGAGCACCTCATGTTAGAAGACCTTGGGCATCTAAATTGATAGAACTCTCTTTAATGATCGCTGAGCGTAAAAAACGTTCTCTACCTGTGACACAAGCTCAAGAAGTATTCATGACTGGTACTTGGTTACTTCTTTATAATTTTCCATAATCCGTAGAGTTTCTTATATCCATCATGTGGACTTGTTTGTTTTGCATAATTAAAGAACTTTATCATATATTTTCTCATTCATGATTTTTTGATTTTTTCTATAGAAATGCCAATGACAATCTGCACGGTGGCCAGTGTTTTGGTGACACATCAGTTGCTAGGGCCTGCTGCAGTTGATGTTTTGACTGCTATGGGTCTCGTGGTCCCTAAACTTGGAGTTCCGTTGTTGCTAGGTGTTCTTTTCTTCACTAATATATTTGCCAGAAAAGATGTTGGACGCGGTGATATGCTAGTGAGTTTGGGGACTACTTGTGATTAACTACAGCGGCCACTACAATGCGCACAAGTTAGCTATCATTTATGCTCTTGTTTTCTATCTTTTTTGCAGTTGAAAGTTTTGGGGATGCTTCCATCACTGGCTTCAAATTCCTCGATGATTCCTCTCGTCGTTCAGACTATCTTGCCCTTGCTTCACAATGACACAAATCCGTATGTAGTGAATATCCCTTCCTGTTACTCTTTTTGTACAATCATATTCCTTTGGGGTGTAACAAAGTAGAAAGGTAGTGTTTCCATGCTGGGTACCCTGTGGGAGATTAAATACTCCCATATGTTTATAACTGTACAAAGGTGCATGATTAAGCGAACTACATGGAGCACTCCATCTTTGTAGTCACGTTTCCATATAAAATCTCCATTACGTAAAAAATGTGACCATGCAAGAAAGGTTATAGTCTCCATTACTAGTACATACATGAAAATACAATGAAGATTGCAGTCTATTTTGTCATTTTTAATGGGAGACTTGTGCACGTTCATGCTTTATATTGGAATTCGGTGACTTTGGTCAGGAAACTGTGCAGGTGTTAGCTTTCCTGATGTAGACACTATAGTATTTCACTCCTTGGTACTGCTGCCTCATTATATTCTTTTGGTTTATAATAATCTCTCTCTTTCTCTCTCCCCCAGTAGGACCAACTGGTTCCAAGTGCTTTAAACTTAAATGAGTAGTTTGTCCTGATCTTTTCCAGTATTTGTGCGGGACCTTCCTACATGTGCATTTGATTGACATGTTCTTGAATTTGATTGGCGCTCTAGTCATATGCAAGAGTATCATCTCCAATTTGCAAGGTTTATATATTAACACGCGTTTCATCCTGCTTGCATGATAAGCTGTTCCCCTTTTAACTACATTCAGGGTTTTGTATTCGGCAGCAACCCGTTTGCTTTGCCAGACCTGGGCAACTAATGACCGTGCTTTTGGAAGTCTGCAAGTAAGAATATTTCCTCTCTGTTTTGGTTATTCTTCACATTTCATTGAATTGTTCTTTTCAATCTCGGTATATTTCCTGTTAAAATGTAAGCAAAGGTAATCAAAAAATGAGCAGAGCAATTTTCATGGAGTGGAACATGTAGCCATGTAACCTTTGCAATCCTTCTCAAAAGAAATAAATGTGGATTTGGTCCCTCCCTCTCCTAAACTTATTATTTGTAATTTGATCTCCCTGTCAAATTTCTCGTAATTTGGCTGGAAGTCGTCTGAGGAACATTTAATCCTCTTTTGAGAGTAGTTGGATTTGTCGGGATGTTAGCCTCTGGTATAAGATGTTATTTGCACAGATTAGGACTCTTTTGATCTGTTGTTATCTTTTGATAATTTTTCTTTGTTCTTTTCACTGCTATGTTCTTTTCACTGCCTTAGGGGATACTTCTTCCGAAAAACTTTGCCGAGTTCGGACATGAAAAAGTTGTCTGTTTAAGTATGGCTACTTCCATTCGAGACGTTTGCAGAAAAAATCCTGATAGGGGCGTGGACCTTATTCTGTCTGTTTCGGTATGGTTATATGAAGCTATTATTTGTTGCTTTTTACCCCTTTCTTTCTTCCTAATCTTAACTCTTTTCTCTAATTATTATGTGTTGACTGATCAACAGTTGTGCATTGAAATGCAAGATCCTCTCATTCAGGCGCTTGGTTTTCAAAGTCTTGCCCACCTTTGTGAAGCTGATGTAGTTGGTATAATCAATTTCTACATCAAATTATTTTTCTGTCTGCTACTATCCCTCCAGATTTTTCTAAATGAGCTTAGCAACGAAATGTGCATGCATGGAGTAATATCCTTGAGTACATCTGCTAAATGTGGTGATGTGAACTCATATATGTTTAAGATATGCCCATTGTACGCAAATAGTTGAGGGTTTGCAAGAATGCACATATTTACTCAATCTTACTTGCATGTCTTGCTTTATTGGGTTGCTACACTGAATTTAGTTGATAATTGAGATGACAGACATGGGACTAGACAGGAGTTCATATCTACTGAAAACTAGGTTGAATGTCTTTAAGGCAACCAGATTGGAAGTCAAGGTTTTTTTTTATTAGTACCTTCATATGTGATAATACTTTGAATCGCGCCTGGAAAGTTTACGTTCCTTGGCAAGACTATCTGAAGTACATCCAATTTCTTATGCCCAATCTTTCCAGATTTCTACACGGCATGGGACGTCATTGGAAAGCACATGCTAGATTACTCCAAAGACCCAAATCTAGCGCACAGGTAAAAGTGCCTTGAGCTCTTGATGTTGGTATATATACATGATCTGCAACTTTGTGAGGATGGAATGGAGAAGTACCTTAGACAAGCTAGGGCAGGAAATATTTTTCCTAAGATTAACATAATTGCTGCATTTTTTCCTCAGTTTGGAAAGGATTGCATGGACTTTTTCCCCCTGAAAAAAAACATTTGTGACCGTGTACTATAGAACAATTTGTGTAATGTTCTTCATTGTGCTCCTGTTATCTTCTTATTGGACAAGATAGTTGCTTACGCATCATATTGGCTTTATAAAATTCCATTAGTTGCTTAATCAAACAACCATTTGTGTGATTGAGTTTCATAAAACAGTTCTATGGACAATCTTTTCTAATCTATACCATAATGTGCTGTGAATTTGTAGTTTATGCCTTCTCCTAAGATGGGGTGCAATGGACGCGCAAGCTTACCCTGAAGCGTCAGAGCATGTCTTGCAAATTTTGTGGGACATAGCCACCTCAACACGTGGTAATGGATTTAAGTGGTCAAAGGCTAGGGCCTCAGCTTTTGCTGCCTTAAGCCAGTATGAGGTTGGTTTTTCCTTCAACTGAGGAACTGCGGAGGATCTTTTTAATTTTGATATATCATTTATTTGGTAAGTCGAGATGCTATTTCTGGTTACATCTCTTCCGAAACTCTTTATTGTTCTCCAGGTACCGGATATTGAAAAAACCATTCCAGAGTTAAGGGAAAGAAGCACATCTTTGCTCTTTTCAGAAACAAATGACGAAATACTTGGTTCTATGGAACGGTTTCAAGTCAAGATGATCACATACGAACACGTGTATGAAAAATAATTTACAGTTTGTTTCCTTATTTATTTGTTGGTAAGTGGCAATGTCACTTCGTTAATTAATCTTATTTACATAATGTAGGAATCGTCGGAGATTCGTAAAGGAGAAAAAGGTTGTCACAAATAAGATTGAAAAGCTGCTTGATGTACTGCCTCAGGTTATATTCTCTTCAGGTATCATTGGTCGGGAGCATTTAATTCATTCGAAAATAATTCTAGGTCTTTTTCTATATCAGATTGCCGTAATTTGTTGGTTTAAACCAACAATATTAGTTATCAGTCCTCTGGTGCTGTTACTTTTGTTGCTGGTCGATTTGATTTAACTCTTTTAATTGGTCTCTGTGTAATCTGCACATAAGCGATACTTGTATAAAAATTTCATTTTCAGGAAAAAGAAGTGCCAGAGAATGTCCTGGTGCAGCGCTGCTATGCCTTTCATTTACTCCAAAAGATTCAAAGAGTGAAGGAGCTTACACTGTAAGATAAGGACCATCATTAAGATTCTGATATCGAGCATAGACGGTGCATCTCATATACTTGCTTAACTTTGATGGAACTTAGGATGCACATGCTCTGCATGAGAACATGTTGGTGGAGATCGCCGCATCTCTTCAACTCTCAAGAAATACTTTCCTTGCACTTCTTTCGTTGCAATCGTGGAAATCCTTCATGCGACGGTGGATTAGGGCTAATATGTTGTCTCTTGATGCGAAAGTATCGTCCGTAGCTCTACATAAACCATCTAAAGCTGCTCATGATATCTTGAAGGTGCTCTTAGTTGTTTATTCTCTCCATGGTGGATTATGCTTTTGCAATTGACCCATAGATTTGTATGACTTTGGTAAACATCATATTCTGTCTTTCTTGACATGCAGAGCATGATGAGAATTGCTGAGGAGTCCATTCCTAGATCTGCCGAGAATATTGCACTGGCCCTCGGTGCACTCTGTGCAGTAAGACCTTTTTTTTTTTCTGAAATTATCTTGGACATGCTAATCCAGGATGTTTATCTTACTTGTTTATTTATTCTTTGGGAGGGGGAGTACAAGATAGTTCAAGAGTGTGGGTCTTTGAATTGTTGGTTAGTGAGAATGGGTATTCTCTTAGTGTCAATAAGTGAAAGTTGTCAGATGATTGGATCTGTTAATTGGAACCCAATCTCCATATAGAGTTTTGATCATTTGGAGTTTTCTTTGGTGGAGAGAACAAAAGATTGTTAAAGAAATATGAAGCTTCTGTTGCTACTTTGTCGTACTTATTCATTTAGCTTTAATTGATCTTGCTCTGGTATAGTTATTGTTTGCTAGGTCTCATGCGCTACCTCCTGCCATCAATAAACTTATTTTTGCAGTATGATTATTTTATCTGATTTTATTTTTCAAGATAAAATGTCATATCCAAAAATTTGTTTGTCGGAAAACTACTCTTTCCCCTGATAACACCTTAGTTTTCACATAATTTATCTGTTTGAAAAACTAAAACTTCATGAAGTTCATGGTTTTTGCAAATCCAAATTATTCATATTTGGACAAATCTGTCATTGAAAACAAAGAAGTGTTGTACGCATAGAAGTTCCATTTGACAATAACGATGAAGTCAAATAATTGCGGAACTGTATAATATAAGGGCAAGATAAGTCTACTTAAGCAAATAAGTCTACTTTAACTAACCTATTGTATTGGAGTTGATATCTATTATTTCATATGGCTTAGATTCAGCACAGTTTTATTCTTGCTATTGAACTCTTGACTGTTCTCACTATTTTCTGTTCTGGAAATGGTTAGGTGTTGCCTCAGTCTGCTCATACGGTTATATCGGCTGCGTCGAAGTTTCTTTTCAATTGGTTGTTCCAGTTCGAACATGAACATCGGCAGTGGTCTGCTGCAATTTCTCTTGGAGTGATCTCAAGCTGCCTACACGTCACAGATCACAAACAAAAATTTCAGAACATCTCAGGACTTATTGAGGTTTGCAGGCTTCCTGTTTGGTACTAGTGTTCTTTTCATAAATCAATAAGAGACGAAGACCATTTATTTAGGCACGTAAATTTATGTATAGACTGGTGTTAAAAACCTAATTGCGGTGGCTGGTTCAACTGGTTGGCCAGTTACTAGTTCATGGCCTGGTGCAGTTTGTACTGATAAAAACCCGGACTGAAAGGGTGTGATCCAGTTCAAACTTAGTTCTATGAAACTGTAGTATAATTCACGAATGAAATATTGTTCCTGGAACTTCTCTTGCCTAGAAAAGACTTCCCAATAGGCTAAACATTTTTTTTATTCACAATCAAAACTATATTATATATTATTGTCAATTTATACAGTTCAAAGTGAAAAAGAATATTTCATGCTCCATAAACTGTTTGATCTTAAGACCTGTGGCTACTGTAGAGCATCTTCAACAACTGGACGAGCATTTTCATATTTTGTCAGTTCCAGAAGAAATGACTTTGCAGAGGCGGACAATTGCTATTATCTAGCTGTGACTTTCGAAAGACTAGTGTGGATTAAAGTAGTAAAACTGTAACGAGTACCATATTTTTGTAGATCTGATCAAAACTGTCATCATTTAGCTCATCAGCTATTAAATGGATCTCTAGCAAAGCCAACCAGTCAATCATATGTTTGAATTTTTCAATGGCACAAAACGACTCTTTTTGTTGTGCGACATGGTCAGAGGGGAGTAATAATTTTGATAGGGAGAAAACTTCATTTTTATTTGTTAAAAATGCCGATGGTTCAAAACTTTCAAATCCTAGAGTGGGAAACATTTTGTAATGTACCTGCTATGATCTGTGGTATAGTTTCTTTGGTTTGCACTTGAGTTCCCACTTTGCATAGTGGGTGCTTTCTATAAATTTGAGGTCTGTCCCCGCGTTGCCCATGATGATTGTGTTTTCTTAGTGCCGATTGAAGAATAATAATGGGACAAGTTTAGGTTTTCTTGCTGATAATCGTGTTTTCTTACTGATCGTGTGTGCCTATAGGTTTTGTCTAGCAGCAAAAGCACCTTTGTGAAAGGAGCCTGTGGAATTGGCTTGGGTTTTTCATGCCAGGATCTTTTAACTAGGACTGAAGCTGCTGATAATCCTGACAGAGATTCCTACAAGATGGGTGAAGTTGAATTAATAGGGAACATTATGAAGTCTTTATCTCTCACGATATTGGAACTTACAAAATCATCATCCCAGATTCTTCGAAGTCTCTGTGAACGTTTCTCCAATGACATGCGTGAGAATGGCAGATATAAGAATCCTGATCTCTTGAATGAGGACAGTGATCTCGTGGAGGAAGACACCTGGGGTCTTGCTGGACTTGTTCTTGGTTTGGGAAGCTCTATTACTGCAGTTTACCGAACTGGGGAAATTGATGTGACACTAAAGATAAAGGACTTGATAATTTCATGGATTCCACACGCGAAGCCATTTGTTTGGAGCCCTGACTCCTGTGATGAAGGATCTGAGATGCTTTTATCTGTTGGATCTTGTCTTGCACTTCCCCTGGTTGTGGCTTTCTGCCAGAGAGTAGAATTGATGGATGTTGGTGAACTGAATCATCTGATAAATGGCTATAGAGATCTTATATCTGAATTATTGTTGGTTAAAAAGTCAGGTGCATTCCACCAGAGCTTGTTGATGGCATCATGTGCTGGAGCAGGGAGTCTCCTTGCCTGTGTTCTGAAGGAAGGTATAGACTCTATCGAAGTTGGATGTCTGAAAGAGTTGCTGGATTTGTTGAGGAGATGTTATTCCAAACCTCAGCCTCCCTCCACTTGTCTGGGAGGGATGCTTGGAATTGTTAATCCTTTGGGTGCAGAAGCCGGGTTGGTTCTCATTCATCCTTTATCCTCCAATGACAGTCGTTACAGGCTGAAGGTGATTGAGGATTTTCCCTCGACTAGCCGTTTAACCATTTTTCTTGGTCTTTGTTTCTCATGGTGAAATGTGCTCTTGGCAGGAATCTTCTCATCTAATCCGCGCGCTTCTTTCAAGTCCTGTCTGTGAGCCTTTGTTAACATCATCAATGCAAGAGATGTTTCTTGCTGCTCAACATTCTGATGATAATCAGCTGCAACAATACTCTGCCTGGGCACTTTCTTTTCTTCGACATAGTCTGTGGTCCAAGGAAGTAAAGTTGGATGATCACGCTCACATTGATACCACTGTCCCAGAAGTTGTTGCTCAAAGTTTCTCCAATGACAGTGTAGTCATGAAACTGTGCTTGTGGTTAACGAATGTGAACTCTTCAAAGATGAATAAGCCAACTACTGAGGTGATGAGCTCCATATATTGTTCTTTTTTCCGAATTCTTCAAGTCTAATGTTTCTGTCACGATATATCTGATGAAGGACTCACTCTAGAGCTTTAGTCAGAAGTGGTTGTCATGGACTCATGACAGCAACTTAGATTTTGCTTTCTGAAGTGTTTGATTTTCTCTTTTTGGTGTACTCCTGTTGCCGAGACTCTAAATTATTGAATAGAATTAAATGAAGACATGTCCATGATATGGTTCGAGATGATCTACAACCTTGTGAATGCAGTGGTGAGCATCTAAAAATTGCACCAAGGGTTAGGTCATTTCCTTATGAATTTGTATTTTACGCGTAGGGTGTATTTATTTCATGGAAAATGAATGATTTGAAAAACATTTTCCGAAAAATGATCGCTTCAATCGCTTACAAAAATAAGTAAATGAAATATATTTTTATTGTCCTCGAAAATGTTTAAATATAAATTTCTGTCGATAATGATAACATTATCCATTGACTAATTATTTCAAGCAATACAAGCGATCATTTATAGGAAGATATTTTCCAAATCATTCATTTTTCGTGAAACAAACGGAGCGGTAATTGTAATAAATTTGCTCCTTATCACAATTCTGAGAAATGTTGCCTGCGCTGTGTTACTCATTGAATAAGAAAGAAGCTGCATGTCACTTGATGCACGGGCTGTTCGTGTGTCCTCTGTCTTGTTCTTTGGAACAGATGATTTGCTGTGGCGTGTTTGCATGGTAGGTCAAGTTCTTAGTTTGTGAGCATCCAGGATTATCTTTTGATTACAGCGTCTCCACGATTGAATTATCAATAACAAAACAATGTACTGAGAATTTCATGGGGTGATCCTTTTAAGTACCTTGCCTTTATTTCTCTTCCAATTGAATCTTGATTTCATTACTTAGGGTGAATTATTTCATCATTTATGTGTCTTTTGTTATGGTTCCATATGTTAGCAAATTTACTATCTCGCTTTCTCTACTTCAGACAGGGAACACACCAGACGTGAGAACAATTAGAACTGTGCTGAAGTGCCTTTCACGAGCTCAGAGATTGCCGAATTTTGACTGGAAAGCAATTGTTAGACGTCTTATGAGATACGAGGTGGAAATTGGCAACTCGTTGCCATCTGATTTGGCTCCTCAGAAAGGCATCTTGAGGGAGGAATGCTTAAATTTTTCGTTAGCTCACGCATCCCGTTTTGATCAATTGCTGGAATTCCTTGATGAGCTCTCCGACCTCTCGAGGTTCAGGACACTTGAACCAAATCTACAGTGTTGCCTGCTCTTTCGTCTGGCCGATCTTGTAAAAGCTTTCTCTTCATCCAGGCGCGAGAAATTACTCTCTGATATAGCTGATTTCTTGCTTTCACTTGCCTCGAACCAAGTTTACAACCTTGATCAGATAATTTTGTTACGTATTTCTTGCTGGAAGGGCCTCCGTCAATGTTTAGACGAAGCTTTACTTGATTCTGAAGAGTATCTTTTAGGTATCGAAAGGTGCATGGTGGTGCTCTTCTCTTTATTGCCTTCATATCATCCTACAGGTATCACTGAGGCAGAGCATGTGAATTCCATTGAAGAATGGTCCGAGGCAGTTAGATGCTTTGAGAAGGCACCAAGGGATTGGCTTTTGAATTTTCTACAGGTGAGTGAACTTTCTGAGTCACTCCGTTACATTGATTCTTATGAAGAGGGTCGCCAAATATCTATGGAAGAATCTGTGAATACGAATAAAGAGCTGAATTAAAGTGTAAAGATCCATATCTTACCTTCTGATATATGTACCCCTAAATAAAGTATTCTCTCTGTCGTAAGTGAAAGGTTCTACACTATCTATCTTAATAGATTGCTGTATGAAATTTAACCTCATCAAAATTCTTCTATTCCCTTGACTCCACACTGGTGGAAATAGACGAGAGAATAATAGGCAAGGCATGCTCACCTTAGTATGGAATCATCCCTGAGTACCTAATCATGCTCATGGTTTGCCTCTGGCTAACATTTTGGTTTAATACAATGACTGTCCTCTGTAATTGCAAACACACTGGATTAATGCCATTTCCCTCTTTGGGGGTTTTCCTTCATAAAAGCATTCTACCAGGCTGCATTTCTAGTAAAAGATGTCAACCCTTGTGGCTTCTATTTTTGTTTGCCACAGGTGTTCGGCTTCTGTAAGAGTTATGTAGTAAGAATACAGATTGAACAAGCTACATCTACTCCTTTTCCTATAGATAGGATCCTCTTGCTGCGCCAATGAGGCACATGGCACAATAAAAAAATACTCTTCTCAACTTGCATTCATCTGCCTGATTCAAGAACTACCAGAACCCTATCTCTTGGAGAAGTTGCCTCTTGCTCCCACACAGCTTTTCCTTCTCAAAACCTTTGGGTTATTGGAGAACTTTTTAGGACAACCATATTACACATCTTCTATAGGTGTTTTTGTCCAGAACTTCTGATAAGGTCACTGGTATGAAAACGAAGTTTGGTTGCATGTAGCTTGTTTTCATGTTTCCTGCTGCTTCAGTGTTGACATCTCTAAGCTTTTGTGTCTCTACTCCTTTGACAGGTGGATTTGGATAAAGAAAATGGCCGGTTCTTTGATGTCCTAAAGAAAATTGAGGTGAAAGTGAGGTTAGTCGGGAGCAGTTCCATCCCATTGGCTGAGCTGGGAAGACTGAAGGCCTTTCTCTTTAACTGCAACTCAAATGGTCGGTGAAGTCATTTTAAATGTCAACCACCAATTTTAAAACTGTAAGAAAATAGAAGTGACTAGATTTGTTTGATGGATTTTTTTAATCATTTGACATGCAGACACATGGAATGTGCTCGTTGAAGTTGTAGCAACTTTACAACATGCTGAAGGAAGCATTAAAAGACAGTGGCTTGTTGATGTGGTGGAGATTAGCTGTGTCTCTAATTTTCCCTCTACGGTATGCAACTATTCCCCAAACTTTTTGAAGCAGTACTAAACGAAGTGGATAGAGAATTAACGATTGCTTCTTTTCACAAGTTGTACCTGTCTCAGTTTGCTTGAACTCATTCTTCTACATCAGGCCTGTCAATACCCAGCATGTTATAGTGATTTGCAATTTACAATGATGAATCAAAAATGATTTCCAAAGTATTTTATGTGTTGACTTTTAAGTTAGATTCAAACAGCAAAAGAATTCGGTCCTGCCCTTTTGTTCCCCCTTAACTCTCTTAGTCCCATTCTAATTATCGACTCAAGGCACTTTAGTAATGTGAACTGAAAGAGATGCTTTCTTGTACTTGGGATGTTCTACTGCATTGGGCTCAATAGTGATGCTAAAGTTTTTAGCTAACACACCACTAGCTCTTCGTTCTTACTTCTCAGGACAGGTTTGCCTCTGTCATGTTATAAGATGTTAAGTTTCCATTTTTTACTCCGGCTCTATTGCCTGGTGAGAAAATGGGTTTCTGACCAATGCGGCAAGACGGAGCAAATGGGATTCTCTTATCTGTTTATCTGTGTTGCTGCCGTAAAATTACTTTTTTGTTCATCATGCTTCTATGTAACATTCGTAATCTCTTGCAGCCAATGCAATTTATTGGCCTGCTCTCAGGCAGTTGCTGCAAATACATGCCTTTGTTGATCCTGGATCGCTTCAGTGTATTGAGTGATCTACCAGTTACTCTCTCTTCTCTTTTGAACGACCCCTCTTGGACAGTCATCGCGGAACATTTCACTGCGACTCTTTTGGCATCAACCGAGCGCATATACCATTGGGTTACACAGCCCTCCTGTGGTGAGGGTACGCTTACCTTGCAAGGTATTGATAAAAGCGAGAACAGCTTAGCTCCTTCCCTACTACAAGTGATGCATGATGCTTGTACATTGTTGAGAAACTACTTGCCTCTAGAGAAGCAGATCGCGCTTGCCAACATGGCAATCCATCGATATGTAGATTATGTGTAAATTAGTGTTTGTTTTATCATTGAGATGTACATATAGTATACTGATTCCTAGAGTTGTTTCAAAAGTCTGCAAGGGTTCCAGTTGAGATGGGAATTTACTTGCAGGACATCAGCATGACAGTTTTTCTTGAATCCTCACTCTTCTCATAAATTGGCTTGTTAACTCGCATCCTGGTTTTGTGCTTTCACATTTTACAAAATTTCGCTTTCTATGTTGTCTTTTTAGGGTTCTGTCCCAACATAATTGCATGACTATCTCGAGTTATCCTAAGAGTTATATGAGTCGAATCAGGAGACCGGGTAGGTTAACTTCCGGGTAATATATAATTTATCCGAAGCTGCCAATTGCAAATTAATCTTCATTCATATCTGAATCTAGAGCAAAACTTTAAGAGCTCAAAATGGCAAATGTGGTGCACGAGCTGCGCAGGAGCCCGAGCCCTCGTCCCACCCTTTTACGTAAAAAAAAAAGCAGCTTTTCTGAAAAGTATTGAGAAGCATAACTGAAAGGGAGTCCTAGCCTTTGCCAAGCTCCTTGTGGGAAATCCGGCAAATGAACAGATGTTCTCAAGTCCTCTTTAAGATGATGTAGTCTTTAGAGACCACAAGCAGAGCCAGCCCATAAACAAAAAAGGAAATTACCGCAAGTAATTCACGCCCGACCGAGTAACTCATGACGTGCCAAGTCAATCGGAGAGAAGCGATTCCTCATCCCATCTTTTAACCACCGCTTCGCTCGAGCTCTTTACTCGGGTCGCTCTCTCTCTCTCTCTCTCGAGCGGGCGTGGAAGAAGGAGGGACGGAGGATTTCAGGCCACGGTTATGGCGGCGGCAGCGGGCGAGCCACCCATGACGTAAACGAGCTGGGTTAAAAGATAAAAGGAGGACGGTGAAATTTGACCCTTGAGCAATGACGAGAGCGCGAGCGAGAGAGCGAGAGCTCACAACAAGTAATAAAACCTTCGTCATCTCCCCCCCCCCCCCAGCTTTATTTTCTCTTCTTCCATTTTCGGTGCGCATAAAATCTCTCCCTCTCTCTCTCTCTCTCTTTCTCTCTCTCTAAAATTCTGATTTTCCTCTCTCTCCGCAGCTTCAAACCCACCAACTGCGAGTACTCACCTCTCTCCCACGCAAAAACTCTCTCTCTCTCTCTCTCTCTCTCTCGCTCGCCGGCGAAATCCTTTACTCCGCGCGCGCACTCCCCCCTACCCCCTCCGGCCTCTGATTCTCCAGCCGCTCCCCGCCCCGCAGCCCCCCGCCGCCGCCCGCCCGCCCGCCCGCGCCCGCCCCTCCCGCCCGGGGCGGGTTTTCGGTTCCTCCGCCGGTAATGCCCGCGGCGCCCCGTCGATCGCCGCTTGCTCCATTGCGAATCGCCGGGCGATTGGGAATCGGAGGCTCGATCGGACCGGGCCGTCGTTCGGCGATGCTGGTCCCTCGCTTCTAGAAGTTTCTGTAAGGCTCCCTTGCTCGTGTCGCTCTCGTGTCGGCGCTTCGCCTCCGCCGTTTGACCTAGATTATCGCTTCTTTCGTTCGCCATTGTGCCCGTCTTTTGGTTAGCAACGGAGTTCGGTCGCTTGTTTTCGGTTCGTTATAGGTTTTAGCTTCTCAATTCGATTTTGTGGACGTGTTACGTGTTTAATCTACTCTATTGAGTGATGTAAGCGCGTATCTTGCTTTGGGCAGCGTTTAGCTTTTCCTTTATGTTGTGGAAGAGCTCTGCCCATATGCACTATATACTAGTTTTTCGTATGGATGCCTGTCTAAGATATGCTGCTATTGCTTTTGGATGTGTCTTGTTAACTGTCGTTATCTGATTAGTATTTGGAAGTCATGTCCTTATTCTTGTGGCATTTGTGCTCGTGGTAGATTTTTTACGTTATTGTATTGGTCCTCGCGGTAATCGGTTAGTCATGCTTAATGTGGAAAGTAATGAAGTCATTCGAGGTATGGCCATTACATACTATATGGTAATGGTTGCCCTATTTTGCTCTCCGGACCATACTCGATCTGGAAACTGGAGCTGCATGGGCATCATGAGTGACAAGTGGTGAATATGCATTAACATGTGAGATATGTATACGAGGTCCATATTGGTTCTGTCTTCACTATCTTTGCCAAGGCATGTCATGGGAAAGCATCCGCCAAAAAGAAACGGTTCTGGAAACTGAGATTCCATTAGTTGCACTTGTCTCTTTGCAGCTTTTGCCAGTATGGATGGCAGTGGAAAGAGTCAAGACATGCTTAGGGAGTAGAATCGTCTAGCCACAGCTAGTTTTATGTCCGTGTAAATTGTTACTATGCTAATTTGTGTCACCCATTCTAAAATTGTCTACAAGAGAATTCTCTAATATCCCTTAGGATTTAAATGCTAATACCATTGTATTTTAAGCGTTTCCATTATCTAAAGACATAGTTTGTTCTCTATATAAATCCTTGTCTCTCCAATGCTATGATTGTGGATTAGGTTGGAGCATTCTCCACTTATGCCGGTCATTAGCTTATCGCTACAGTTGCTGACTTTCATATGACTCTATGTAAGGTGGATAAGCTGTAATGAGGCTCGATCCCAGGTGTAGTATCTAGGATAGGTTGGTCTTTGCGAAGTATGCCAATTTGACTCTAGAGATGCTAGCTTTTGGAATGTCAGTGCTACATGAGCAATTAGTGGTTTTCTTTAGTAGATATAATTTCTAGTACAAATATCACTACAAATAGGGAATGAGAGAATATCGCAAACATTATAGAGAATTGCCCCTTTCGGCTGAGGCATATACTTCGTTGGCTATGTGGGTAAAGCAATTCTTTATCATCAAGTTGTGTGGCGATCGTAAAGAAGAAGCTCCTTTCCCTTATCTGTTTTATGAGGCCCAAGTGGGAGAACTGTTTCCTAGAGGCATGCTATATTAGAAATTCATGCCTAAATTTTCCGCTTCATATTGAGAGCTGCTGTTTGGTTATTTACCCATTTTATAACTAGAATGCGAATGAGCTTTTATTGTTGGCTTTTGCATATTAAAAAAAATCTTAGGCTTAAACAGGGAGAAGAAAAGAATTTGTTGCGAAGGAAATAGTTTAGCTGTATGATAATATATAAATCGTTTTTTTTAATCTTTTCTCATAATGTTTACTTCTCTCTCTCTCTCTCTCTCTCTCTCTCTCTGTGCTCGTGCATGTGCGCGTGTGATATGTAGAACATTTTCCTTTTAGCTAGTGTCCCTATAGAGCATTTGCAAGGACTAGAATGGAGAGAGAAACAAATGGACCCCAACCCTCAGAGGAGTCCACCAATTAAAGGGGTTCTGGAGGTGGACTCACACAGTTTTATGCCTTAGAGCATTGGTGACTGAAATTCATAGAAAGGAAAATGGAGGTCAATGTTTAGCTATAAACTTCTTCGCTGATCAGACCTTACAGATCAAACGAAATAATTTCCGGTTTCAAGTTTTGGAGGGCATTGAACTTTTGATTTGGCAATGGCATTAAATGTATCATCCCTGAGTACCCATTGGTAATTTAAATCTCTCAAATAATGAAGTGCAAACTGCTTCGAGAGAACTTTTTAGCCTGGCAATCTCAAAATTCCATCACAAAAGGTGTTTGATTGTAGATAATATTGAGAAGTCTATTCGAATTGTAAAGGTAAAGAATAGAGCAACACTGATGAGGTGGAGAACAGTATGACTTTAAGGAAAAGGGAAGGGAGCAGAGATCTTTTAGAACCCTGGGGAAATGTGAAAACAAAAACAAGTTCTTTAGTGGAAAATAAGAAAGATCTTCAAAATTGGAGAAATTACTGCTTGAACCTATACAAAGAATTTTTCAGTAAAAAAACGATATGTCCATATGTAGAAGCAACTTGAAACCTCTATAGTGGGTCTAACTCAAATTTGCTAGATAAAGGTGTCATTTCTTTAAGGGTTGTAGAAGCAATTCAGTGTTGCAAATAATATTAAGGGGTACCAAAAGGTGCAGGGAAGCTCACTATTCGAAAGCAGGTGTTGCTATGCAGAAATTCACCCTGACCAGAATGATGTAATCACTTATGGAATATTCCTTGTTGAAACATTAATTGTTTTTTATTGCTGCGCTCCCATTTCTTCCTAGGAGGGTTTAGAGTATTCATAAGTAACATGAACTTGCTGAGTAGTTTGTCTGGGGTCTCTTTGTGATCGTAGCATTTGCCAAAGAAGTTTCTTATTGATAGTGAAAGAAGCCAGAATCGTGGTTTGAGGACGTTGATTTAGTTACTAGAAATTTAGAATTCTTTTTCGCTGATTCTAAGATTTTTAAGAAGAATAAGTCGATAAACTGTGCCATCAGATTTTATCGATAACTGTTATATTTCTGTTATCATTTGTTAATTTTTGTTCAATTGAGCTGTGCCATTATTTAATCTTTTCTATCGACCCAGTGGGTTGGTTTGTTTTGATGTGTTATCCTTTTGAAATCATCCAAAAATAAATTGCTTAGGTCTATGGCTCTACCCATACAATGTTTCTTTTTCCCCTGAAAATTGCATCAACTTAGTATATGCTTTAACACTTCTTCGAATCCTGTTTCAAGAGATAGACACTTGAGCGACACTAATTGTTTTACAGTTATACTTCCTGACTACACAGTGTTCATTTTGACATGATTTTCCTGATTTTAGGTTTCACTACATTGCTGGATGTCGAAAGATTCTAAAGGTTTAGTATTTCATCTATTGCAAGAAATCCAATGGTTTTGAAAGTTGCTTCTCAAATGTCTGGGGATCTTTCACCTTCTGATTATGCAAGTGATCCTGAAGACAAGGAATTTAGTGATGATGATGATGATGATCGCAACCATAAGCATCGACGACGGGAAACACGTTCTCAGTCTTCTGACAAAGATGCTCTGGAGCACAATATAGCAAGGTCGTACAGAAAGCACAACAAACCTTTTGATAATGGACACATGTTTAGAGAAAACGAAACACAAGATAGTCAGTCCTGGAAAAACTATAATGCAGTTTCTTCAGAGAGAGATTTTTCTACTAAGTTTGAAAAACGTCACCCCGGTTCTGTTTCACTACCCCGAGGTCCTTTGGACTTGAATCCGAGAGTTAGGGCAAACCAAACCTTCTCTGGTAATTCTGGTCCTGGTAGAGGAAGAGGAAGGGACTCTGGTGCATGGAACCATCGGGATGCTAGGTTTAACTCCGTTGATATTGCTAGTCAGGTAATGCAGAGGGGGTCCATTCGACCGAGCCTATTTCCTGGAAGGGGTTTGCCAGGTGCTTCAAATGCACAAAATGCATCCTGGGGTGCGTATGGATTGATCCCTGGTGTACCGAGTGGTGGTCTAGATGCACTCAATTCTGTTGGCCTGCAAGGTGCGTTTAGGCCCCCTATAAGTACTTCATTGGGTATAGCTATTCCTCGGCAGAGATGTAGAGACTTTGAGGAACGTGGATTTTGTCTGAGAGGAGACATGTGCCCTATGGAGCATGGTGTCAACCGTATTGTTGTGGAAGATGTACAGGTATCTCCTCTTATCAAAACCTGCATAGTGGTCTGGTAAAGCATTTAAATATAATTGAACCGTTGATAAGGCTTAAATCTGAAAACTTACTGATTAAATCTGAAATCTGGTCCATCTTTGGTTGCTATCCACGAAGTTACTTCTAGGATGCACTAGATTTATGATGGAATATTTTATTTTCAATATTGTGGCTTTTCCCTCTATGCTAGTCCAGCATTATATCAAGGTCATGGGCCATCCATACACACTAGTTGATCATTCTTATTTTTGGCCTAAATGATGTGCACACCTTTGTTGATGCCTCAAGCTAAGTAAATATGTATAACGTTTCCACTGCCAAAGAAAAAAGAACAGAATCGAAGAGGTGCTCAAACAAGTTTTATTCTTGTAGATTCACAAAGGAATTAAGAAGAAAAGAAAGGTGACTGGCATACTCAGTTTATTCTGTTGATCTTTTACAGTTTGTGCATTGACTCTTGAATCTGGTTTCAAGGGGCATTCATGATGATTAAGCTGCTTTCTGATCTTTCAATAAGTCAGCTAATGATTGATGATGGTACTTGAGGTCTGCCTGGAGGCCAACTGAAAAGAACTTTTTGCAAGTAGATGTTTCTCTTTCTGATCATGCTGTCCGTTGGTTTAAGGTCAAGTTACTAGTCGTCTAGGTTGCCCAGCACACAGTGGAATGTCCTTAGCTATTTCATGTCATCAAATGGAAGTGGAGATACTTTTGCTTTTCCTTAAAGGTGCTAGAGTTAGGTTTGATGCTTTGCAGGTATCATTTTCATTTTATATGGAAGTTGCTGAAGTATTTTCTTTTCATTTTACAGAGTCTCTCCCAGTTTAACCTCCCTGTTTCACTGCCAAGTGCGCACTTGCTTGGACCGTCTGCTTTACCTGGACCCATACCTTCTGGCAGTGCTTCTTCAACCTCGTTGATGAATAACAAAGGACCACAAGGCAAAAGTGGTAAACATGGAATGTCTGATGATAGTTTGGTATTAAATTCTGCATACTCTGCTGCTGCTAATGTTGTTGGAGCCGATCTATACGATCCTGATCAGCCACTTTGGAGTAATAATGGTCCCGAAGGATCTTCGCCGTTAGCTCTACATTCATCCCAGGCTGATGAAACTGAATCCTCGTTTAATCATGATTTCTCTTATCGTCGTGTCAAGAAAGCTGCTGATATTGACCACCAAAATAGGGGTGCTGGGCTTTCTGTTGCTTCACAGAATCCAACTTCATCTGTTTGGGGTAGAATTAGAAACTCAAAAGTTAAAATGAATTCGAAAGGTGAAACTGATGCTAAATCTAGTACTTCTGATTTGGTGGGAGATGAAATGAAGGAAAAGCAGGAAGCATCAGCCAGTCTTATAGCTAGCTCCCATCATGGAAAGCAGATCGCTGGGGAGGATAAGAGCTCTAAAGCTATAGATTCATCTCAAAAAACACAATCTGACGCAATGCGTTTTGTGCGGAAACCAACTCAGAAGGCAACGCGTACTCTATTTGTTAATGGCATTCCTCAGAGAAGCAACAAAAGGGAGGCTCTTCTTTCTCATTTCCAAAAGTTTGGGGAGATCATTGATATCTACATACCGATAAATAGTGAGAGGGCTTTTGTTCAATTTTCGAAAAGGGAAGAGGCAGAGGCTGCTCTAAAGGCACCTGATGCTGTAATGGGCAATCGCTTCATTAAGCTGTGGTGGGCTAATCGCGATAGCATTCCTGATGATGGCATAAGTAGTGCGAGTAGTGCATCTTTGACTCCCCATGGTGGGACAGCCGGTTCAGTTCCCGCCGGTCTGTCCATTACCAATAGAACAAAAGATAACATACAATCAGCTCCCTTGAAAGCTATTGATATTCCTGTAGCAGAATCCGCCCTTCCATCCTCTGATCAATCTAAGCCTCTTACTCCAAATGGCTCCAAGGGTACACCTCCTTTGCAAAAGAAATTGGAGAGTTTAGAACAGTTGAAGGAAGAGCTTCGCAAGAAGCAAGAAATGCTGGACCGGAAGCGCAACGACTTCAAACGTCAGTTGGACAAACTTCAGAAACAAGTGCGCTTCTATCTGTTTTACTTTATGCTGTCTTTCATTCTCCAATCAAGATGACATATTTCATCATGCTTTTGTGTCTAATATTTACTTTTAGATATTGCATTTTTGTGGGTAATTTGTTTTCTACTTGGTGATTCTGAATTCAGGTTTTGGATCCTAGTCGCTAACTTTATGCTTAGTGTAATCATTATGTTGGATAGCTTATATGAAGACTAAGGGGTGTTCTTGTCTGGACCAAGAGGTGGTATTAAAGAGAGTTTGTGTATTCTCTGTTTGTATGTAATGATTTACATTTCATTGATGTCTCTTACTATGTAGTCCTCATGGATTGGATCTCAACACGGCCTCCTTGTAATGAAATTAAAAGTGAAAATAGCAACAGGTTAAGACCTTGTACGATGAGGGCCACTTTTGGCTCTGGTCCACTACTGGGGTTTCTAGGAAGGGGAACTATGTTATTAGAGGCAAAAGGAGAATAGGAGTATGATGACTTCCTTGAGCAGTTGTGGAAATTATGAAACTATGACGTGAAAAAAGCACCCCAAAGAAAACAGCTAAGGCAACATGTTTCAGGAGAATAGAGCAGCTTGTGTTAGCCTGAAGCAGTTGAGAGTTAAAGGAGCAATGGTAGAGTAAATGAGTCTGCCATGTCACATAAGACAGGTTCAAACTTTGTAAAACAACCTGTGTACCTAACGAGTCTCTTTTTAGCTGAACAATAAAAAAAAACGAGTCTCTTCTTTGGCGTTTTAGTTTTTACCAGAATTCTTTTACAAGGTTGTGAGCAATTATAGCAAAGTGTTTTTGGCATGCATAATGTACACTTCTACACATATGAAGCAGAATGAATAAGGTGCACGTGCAATCTTCCGCTTACTTCAGTAAACCGAATGCCCTTGTGGTCTTTGCTCTCACTGGACTCTGTTTAAAGAAATAGATTGTGTTGGAGATTTGCGGATATCTTAGATGAAATTTGACGCTCTTAAGAAGTTGAATAGTCTCAGTCGAACTTACCAGATAACTTGTGTTGGCTCATCCCTCTGTTGAGTGCATGTCACTTCTCAGTCAGAGTTGGGAACTCAGGATTTTGAAATACGTTGGTTCCTTCATCCTCTCTTGTGTACCCTTTGCAGACTTCCGGAGTCAAGGGTGAGGTAATTGCTGAGCAAGCTGCTAAGCGACAGAAGTTGGGATTGGGGGCTGATGCTGCAGGGGCTGTGACCCCCAGATCTTCTGATGTTGCTGCTGTGACTGAGAGGTCCTCCGCTACAGCTGATGCAATGGCATCATCAAATGATGAAGTCATGGACAATGAGAACAAGTTAGTGGAGGGTGCTACACAGGATAGTCGTGATATAACCTCATTAACATCAACAGAAGGTTCTAGTAGCATGAAACAGCAGAATTTGTCAGTGACCCCTGCTGGCTTTTCTTTTATACATAGATACAAACTTGACAACCGTCCGACAACATTTAAAGTTCTACCACCATTTCCGACTGGTTTTGCAAGTGTGAGTCTCTCTCTCTCTCTCTCTCTCTCTCTCTCTCTCTCTCTCTCTCTCACACACACGCACACACGCACGCACGCACCCACCTCCCCGTGCAACTAGGTGGGCGAGTTCATGTTGACGAGTTAGCAATAGAGAATTATTAGTATGACTTGAGAAAGCGTACAATGGTAGAATTGTGGCCATAATTTCACTTGTAAGGGGTGTTGTAAAGAGAAGGAAATTTGCTCGCTTCCTTAACGACTTCACTTTTAATAAATTTCTCTCTTTTATTTTTTTCTGTTGGGGAGAAAATAATGGAATGGTAGCACAGGGAGTGCTTTGTTTGAGTTTGCAGTTCCAGGATAGTCCTTTGGGATATTCTATTCGTTCTGTGTGCTTTAATTAGGTAATTTCGTGCGCCAGAGTAATTTCTAAGTGAACTATATTTGATTACACACACATCAGGTCTCTGCTTTGAAGGAACACTTTTCGTCTTTTGGTGATCTTGCTATTGTGGAGCTAGAACATGTGGAAGGTCAGGATGATATTAATGGATCGGAGACATTGAAAACTGTCTCTGCTCATATTGGTTTCGTAACTCGCCATTCAGCAGAGAAGGCATTTGCAAATGGAAAGTGCTGGCAAGGCCATAATTTGCAGTTTGCATGGTCGTCAACAGTGTCCAGCAATGATATGCGTGATCAAAGAGCATCTGCTCATACTGAGCCATCAACCATTCATTCTGCAGGTAAAGAGTCGCACATTTCGTTGCAGGAACCTGGAAATGGGGATGCTGAATGTTCAGAAAGACAGGGAGATGACGAAAATATTGACGCAGCTGAAGTTTCTCGGCCTAATCCATCATTGGGATCTGCCGAGGAAGGGTCACACGAATCGCCCGAGAGGTGATCAAAAGTGAGTTGGGTTCTCTTGTTTCCATGTACAGTAAGGTAAAATTTTAAGATATTGAGCGGTATATTGGATATGCTGCTTAGGCGAATGGCTAAAATGGGATTTTCCAATAGTTTCTCATTTCATCCATTGGATTGTAACAAGGGAATTTTGGATGCCTCGTTAGTTGTTTAACAAATGTTGTTTTATCTCTAAACTTTAAAGTTCAAGGACCGGAGAGAGAAATCTCTTTTGAAATTAGCAATACAAAGTGGAAAAAAAAAAGTACTTTTGGAACAATTATCATGCCCTCGCTTCATATTTGGGTTCTCTGTCGTGCTGCACTTGTTAGTGTAAAACCTCGAAAGCTTGGCCGAAAGATTACAACCCCTCATTGTATGTTGCCCTGATCACTGAAGGCGGCGAAGTTGAGAGTTATCTTGAGTTGGCCTCAATGCCAGTGATCTTTGAATGAAGCTGTTCCTTTTATTTTTGTCTTGCCAAGCAATTCTTTCTTCGGTTACCGAAAGTAAAAGCTCTTCATTGGTTTTATGGGTAAATGCTAGGTCCATAGGAGCGACGATGAATTCCGTCCGTGTGGCTCAGGAATTTTTTATCCATTGAGGAACTCCTTGAGATAATGATCTACCTTTCTGTTCAACAATCATCTTTTTATCTTTGCCTAAAGAAAATCATTGGTGGTGCGATTTAGGTTGTTTGGGCTATATGTTTAGATCCAATATCAGAACTGAAGTAGCGCTTCTCGGAGGGTGTTTCTTCCTTCCCCTTGAGTATATGATAGAACTTCGTTCTTTCACCGAAAAGGTACGACTTAGAAGACCCAAAACCTCTGCAGGAAATTTATCGACGACCCGTTCTACTCCTCCATTTTGCGGCCAGTCTCGTTCTGATACGTCATAGTGATGCATGGTCTCTTTCGTATGATGCGCGGGTGGGTTTGGATGTCATTGAAGAAATTAAGAAATTGGCGTCATGAGAATCGGTCTTTTGCTTTCCCGCCATCGTCCCTCACTGAGTTCGAACCAATCTGATATAGCTGCGTCCGCTGACATTTTTTACTTACGATTTCCTGATAGATAGCGTACCTATATACTCAGGTGCTATATTATTTTTTTATCTTCCATATCTTGGAAAGCAAATTAACATTGCAAGCCAGAAGCTGGAGGGAGAAGCTTGAGCAGTCTGCTTCTAAATTTTGTTTTCAAGTTCTGCATGTTGAGACCGACTTTTGATGCGATGTAGCTTACAATATGGAAAGTCAAAAAGTAAGAAGCCTTTTGTATGTCGGACTGGAATTTTTCTTTTTCATATGAAGCTGCTGCGTTCGAGCCTCCTAGGAAACATCGTTGCTGGGGGAGGCAATAGGACCAATGGCGACAATACAAGGACCCAAAAAGCACCAAACCAAACACAGCATGTATGATCAGGTGATCTTAACGAGACATGATCGAACCCTTCTTCAGGTTGACATAAATGAACCTGCAATGCCATCACCACCCCGACATAACAAGCATTGAAATCCTCAGCTAAAGAATTACTCATTCCAAATTACCAACTCTCCAGACTACTGCCAGAACCCTTTGATCATTAAGTACCATTCTATGCAAATAGGAGGAAAGGAAATTGTAATAAGAACACGGATTTGTTTAAGCTCGAACTCCACATGTAGCCCCGGGCAAGCTTAGTGGGTAACATATAATTTACCTTGACCACTGATGTTCTATTTCCTTGAGAAGTCTATTCGAGGCATCAGTTGAGTTAAAGCGTTGCTGTCACCGATGTACCTGCCCACTTGGATATCTTCAAAAACAATTCATGTACTACAGTTCCCGGATATGCAGCCAAAGACTTAAAACTGGAAGAAAAAATACCCATTTCGGCAATCTTTGAAGTACTGCCTCATGCATCACCTCAGGAACAAACTGTCATTTCTCCAGAGGAGGTTCTGCTTCTTTCAGTTTTAACGAAAAATCTTAGTGATATTACCTGCACTCAAGAAGTTTGCAGCTTCACTAATCACCAATCTGATCCCACTAAGCACTGACCCACCTGTTCGGCTGCTCCATTCACACCAACTTCTCACAAAGTCTGTCCCCAGGAAGGCTGCTTAATGAGCCACAGCAGCCTTGCGTATACCACGATTATATGCTTGCATGATTGACTATTCGGCACAAAGCCTTTCTTTAAAATTCTGTCCTTTAGAGCCGTCAGCTTAGCCACATCCCCTTCAGCACCAACACTACCGATTAGAATATTGTAAGTCAGGGTCTTGAACCTGAAATTTCAAAACTCTGGGAAGGCTGTTTGGCTGCTTCATCCATACCAACTCCTTGCACAGTCCTCAGGAAGGTTGCTTACGAGCCATAACCGCATTTCGTATCCCATCAATTATATGTTTGCATGATTGGCTGTTTGGCACAAAGCCCATCTTCAGGATTCTGTCCTGTAGAGCCATCAGCTTAGCCGCATCCCTTTCCTCACCAACAGTCATGATTAGAGCATTGTAACTCTCAGAGTCTTGAATGTGAAATTTCGCAGAAAAGAGACCTAACAAAGATTCGGCTCTATCGACATTTTTTTCCTTACAATACCCACATATTAATGCCCTGCATATATCTAGATCAGGTGAAACTCTACCTTTATCCATTTCTTCCATCAATGCTTCACTCTCCTCGCTTCTTCCTGTTCTGCATAAGCAGCAGATAAGAGCTCTGTATACTTCAAGATCAGGTTTCATGTTCTTGCAGACCATTTCATCTTTCAGAAGTAGTGCCTCATTGGCACCATCACACTTGCAGAAAGACTCTATAAGCTTTTTATACATATGCAAAGTGGGGATATAACCATCCTTTGATATACCATCAAGAAAATTCTTAGCTGCAAAGGGTCGATTCTCTCGGCAAAGGGAATCTATTAGATGATCGTAGATTTCATAGGAAATGGTACACCCAAATCTCCTAAGCTCCACAACCCAATTCAGAGCAGAAACCAAACTTCCCTTGTTCTCATATCCTTCAACAAGAACAAGGCAAGTGAAATCATCAGGGCAGATCCCTCTTCCAATCATCTCATGCAACAACAGCCTCGACTCCTGCATCTTCGATTCCTTGCAATAACCAAGTATGAGAGTGTTATACGTCTTAATATCCGGAGTCAGCCCCCTATTCACCATCTGATGAAAGAGCTTATGAGCCTCCCTGACCTTCCCTATCCTACAAAGCCCGTTGATTAAGGCCGTGTGCGTGATCAAATCCGGCACAAACCCTCTGAGAAACATAATCCTATACAAGTAAAATGCATCCTCTAACCTCTCTTTCTTGCAGTAACTATATATCAAGGTATTATAGGTCACAATATCCGGCTCGAATCCTTCTTCTTCCATCTTCTCCAAGAACTCATACACCATACTGATATCTCCTTCCTCGCACAAGACATTGGTCAAAATATTGAAGGTGTGCGAATTCGGGTGTATCCCGACTCTCCCCATCACTCCATAAACTTGCCAACACTCCTTAATGCAATTCAACCTCAACAATTTATGCAGAAGGAAATTGCAAGAAATCACACTAGGGACGAAACCTGCCTCTGTCGCCTTCCTAAATGCCCCTCGACCTCCCTCGACCATCCCCATTTTCAAGTAAGCCTTGATGAGCATGTCGAAAACAACCGGGTCCCAATTACAGCCCTCGCTAGACAAGAGCAAAGCTCCGAAAACATCCCCGTCGGGAGCCACGACATCCTCAGCCACCTCAACCAACTCGGTCAGCAACTTCATTGCCTGAGGAAACTGTCTGGACCAAGCCACGATGTGGATCGCGAGGCAATAGTTGCGAGCGCTGAGCCTGAGACCCAGATCATCCTTGACCCAATTGAAGAAAGCGAGAGCCGAGGCGTGATCAGATTGGCATCTCAGCAGAACCCGCGAGATTTCGTCGCTACCCAGATGAGAAAGGAGCGATCTTAGTTCGTTACGCAGGAGCGCGAGGTGGGGATTCGGGTTCTTGAGGGACGAGCAGATGAGGTCGACCAGCTTGCCGGGGTTTTGGGTCTCGGAAAGCAAGTTGTAGAGGGGGCTCAAGACTGGTTTTTTGGGAGAATTCTGCAGAGCCTGGAGGGATGAAGAAGAAGAAGAAGAAGACGACGACGACGACGACGATACGAAAAGGGATGTGCAGGAGAACGATGCAAGAGGAGGGGGCGTTCTGAGATGGCCATGAGATGCTAAACGGGTTGACCTTCTGAGAACTTTGTTGATCGAATCAAGGTGAGTTCGATTCATCAGTAATCGGGGGAAAGAGAGAGAGAGAGAGAGTATGTCTGATAATGTCGGAAGGACTGTTCCCGCCGGCGGTCGGAGGACTTCCGAGGGGTGTAAACAGCGAAACCAAACAGCGTTTTTGGGGAAATTCACCAATTTTTACAACGTGCCACACTTCCAAAATTTTGAGGGAAAATGTAATTCTTCCCGACTAATATATATATGATTGAATACTTTTATTAAAGTGATTGGTCTAATGGTAAGTGAGTAACAATACCAAAGCGTCGCCTTTCGATTCACGTCATGACCAAAATCTCTGTATGATTTTGTGCTGCATCGCCTTGTTGTAAGACATACCTTTTGTGGATAAAGAAATATGGAGATCACAGTGAAAAGTTTTAAGCTGCTTGTGTTGTTAGAAGGCTGACACTGTGTATGAACTCTTCAAAGACCCCCTTTCCCTTTTCTTTCTTTTTCAATTTGGCATCAAAGCTCCCAAGTAAGATGGAACAGAAGATTGCACTTTTGAGACAGAGGGGGAGAGATTATAGTAACTTGAATTGAAATACTTCATTCCTCAAATTAATCATACTTTGCTTCATCCTATGTACATACTCCTTACAACCAATGCCCCTTTATTTGGCAAAAAAATATTACTGGAGATAAATCCCATGAAAATGAAGTTTAGGTAAATATAATGTCAATGGAGTCATTCTCTAAAACAAGTACTCCACCGCACTTGACAAGCTCGAAGAACCCGGCCACGGCACTTGGGTCACCACCATCTGCCCTTCGTACTCGAACCCCACGCGCGTTCCGTCGACCCGGCACTCCCTCGGCCTCTCCGACGCGAACACCCTGAACTCCCCTCCTCCTCTCACCTCGACCTCCGCCCGTCCCTCCCCGTACTCCACGCCGCGGATCGCCCCGCCGGCGTTCAGCATGTTCACCAGCCCAATCGGCGCAAACTGCACGGTCCTTGCGCCCCCGGCCGCCGACCGCCTCAGCTCCTTGATCGGAGAGACGGTGATGAGCTCGAACTGGAACGGCTCGAGCGAGATGTTGAGGCTCTCGGAGGGCTTCGACAGGACAAGCCTCTTGGACTGGGACAGGTAGAGGGCGAAGACGCGGACCCCATCGACGGAGATTGGGGACTCGCCAGCGCTCCACTCGATGTCGGCGGGGTTGGTAGTGCAGGCGACGGCGTGGGAGAACCGGGAGGCGCACTTGTTGCGGCGGGACTCGCGGCACCAACCGCCGCCTTGGCAGTTGAAGACTCCGATAACTCCCGTGTACTGTCGCAAAAGGTTCAATTTTTTTAGCATACAATAGTAAAAATAAGATGAACTGCACTATACTTGCATGAGAAATTCATGGCGAAGAGTCAAGTAATGCTCACTTTGTTCAAGTTCCAAATCTTGAGCATGGTCTTGCCATCATGGAGAGGGTCTACGAAGAGGCAGTCTCGGGTCGGGAGGGCGTAATGCTCGCACCGCAGGATCGAGCCATCCGGCAACACCAGTTGCCTGAGCAGCTCGAAGTCGTGCTTCCCGACCGAGTCGCTTATGTAAATCGGGCCGCCCGAGATCGCGCGAGAAGCGGCATGGAACAGAGCGCAAGGATGCGTGGACTGGAACATGTCCCAGTCCGGGTGGATGAAGTTGCCCATCCACAGGCTGTTGTAGGCGCAGTGCACCATATGGCACCCTTGGAGCCAGAACGTGCCGTTCGGGTCGCCGGACGGGTCGGTGCACCAGAAATCGTCGCCTGTCGGAAAAAAAAAAAGATGCATCGCACAACACCATTAGAGAGAGCCGTCACACAAGTGCCTCGTCACACGAAAAATTCGCCGCGTCCCGAGCGAGACTCACCGACACGGCCGAGCGAGATCGCCTCCGTCCCGAGGAACATGAAGTCGTTGCAGTGCTCCATGCTGGCGATCACCCCGTTGCCATTGAAATGCTTCCTCACCGAAGCCGTCAGGGCCTTGTAGTACGCCTTCGCGAGCTCCACCCTTCCGCCATAGTCCTCACACAGCATCTCCAGCAACTGTTCAAGCACATCGATCAGACAAAAAAGAAAGAAAGAAAAAAAAAACAAACAGGAGATGAAGATCTGCTATACAAGATCAAACGACAGGACAAGTGTCGTCGTACGGGAAACATCCTGGAAAGGTTCGGAAACCGGATAAACTTGTAGAAAACTCCAATGGATGAGAAGGAGATAACGTTGCCGTCCAAATCAAACCGAGTTAGTCAAGTCAACTTGGCAGAGCCAAAAAGTCAAAAGTAACCGAAAGAACCATCTAAACGGTGGAGTCTGTTTTGTCCTACTTTAAAGATAAAGCCAAGACGTGGAAAGAAAACGACCCAGATCTGCAGTTCGTTTCTACGTTCTTCCATGTGTATCAACATCAACAACACGTAAATCATATTAAGATAGATAAATCAAGAAAAGGTTGGAAGGGCCACTTACGTGAATGACGTCCACCTTCACGCCGTCGATCCCAACCGACTCCAGGTGCGAGTGAAGGCCCTCGTACATCCGTTCGACCAGCTCCGGCGGGACCAACCCCACCCCGTTGTTCACGATCTTGTCGACGGCGAGATCTTCCATCGTCGTCTCAAGCCCCGGCGACAGTTCGGGCTTCACCACACTCGACTCGGGCAGGCCCGGCGCGCCGGGCCTGAGACCGCCCCAGTACCCGCACAGCGCGTGCCACACGTACACGTAGTCCACGCTCCCGAACTCCTCCTTCAGGTCCTGGACGAAGGCCCTCATGCCGTTACCCCTCGGGCTCACGTAGTCCCTGAACTTGTGATTCTCCTGGAACTTGAGGAGCCGGCATGGCATCTGCTCGCCCGCCACCGCGTGGTTCATGCCCTCCTTCGTGACCGGGTCCTCGTCGTGGCTGATGGACTGCCACCCGTCGTCGATCAGGACGAGCCCGGGCGGGCACCCGCCCTCCACCAGGCCCTTGACCCCGTCCCATATCCCCTCCGGGTGCACCGTGAGGTAAAACGCATCCCACGTGCACCACCCGAACTTGTCCACTATCCCGGGCGGGGTCTTCTCTTCGAGGAGCTTGAACGTGCCCAAGTGGTCCCTCGCTACTTTGATTGCGTCCTTGACGAGGGCAAAAGGGTCGTCCCCCGCATGCATGTAGAGCGCCGCCCTGAACCCGGCGGCCGTGACCTTCGTGGACCCGCTCTCCACGCACAGGTCCACGAAGTCATCCGGACCGGGCTGGATGGAGGCCCGGAAGGACCCCTCCAGGAGGGGCAGCAGGAGGACGTACGGGCGGGCCGGTCCGGACTCGAACCCCTCGTCGTCGTCGGACCTGTCGAGGATGACCATCTGGGTCTCGTGCTCCAGGTCGCGGCCGTTGGTGCCGACCCAGTGGGTGGTCCACCAGACCTTGAACCGGAATATGCTCATGAACCGGATGCCCCGGAGCTTGCCAATGGAGGCGACATGGCGGCTTCCGGGTTTGGCGGTGTCGAACCCGACGAAGCAGCCCGAGGCATGGTGAGCCGAGGGGCTGGCCGTGACGTTCGGGGGGACCTCAGAGAGAATGACATGCCCATTGGCCAGGAAGTTGGATTCCTCCAGAGTGATCACGGAGCCGGCGCAACCATTGACAAGGGTGGTCACATCAGAGCCGGCTTTGCTCAAGCTTGGAGCCATTTTGATTCTCGAAACAAACAAAAACCGAAAGCTCGTAGCCGAGAGAGCGAAAGAAGAAGACAGAAACGGGCAGATTTGCAGGCAGCAGCCAAAGAATCACGAAAGAACAACGGCTTTGTTTTTACACAGAAACGAAACGTCGGAAGAAGTAAAGGAAGTAAGAATCTTTTGGAGCGATTTGGGGGAAAAAGATTTGCGTTCTGGATGGAAACTAGCCTTGAGTTTTATGTTCTGCGATGCTCGGAAGCAGGAGGCAAGCGACCTCATTTATAGGGGAAGCCATGGATGGATGGGGGGCGACCTTGGACGGCGAGGTGGTTGGTTCCCAGTTTGTGGAAGTTGGTTTGATTTGTCTTCTTCTTCTAGACTGAATAAAATAATACAAAAAATTCAATTCTTTTTTATTTGTTTTTTGTTGGTGGGTCATTCCAGTGAAACATGAAAAAGAGCTCAAAATCTGCTCAAAGATCATCCGGCGGGTCACATAAGCTGGGATTTCACTTTCATTTCGTAGTCCTCGCAAAGAGAGAGACATCGGAAGTTTCGGATAAGACGGGGACAAATGTGATCTAGAAGAGTCCCTTTTACGTGGCATTGACCGACTGAGATATGTAACAACTGTCGAGGGGAAGGCTGTCTGAAACAAACAACTTCCTAGTAAATTCCATAGAATTTAAACCCATTTCGGGGATTTTTATTTTTCGATTTTTCATACTTTTTCTAGTATACAGGCGTTACTATACTTTTCTTTTCTTTTGGTCTTTACCTCTGTTGGTCGCGAATTTTCCGTTGCTATAAGCTGCTAAGTGTTAGAAATAAAGCCTAACAGGGAGACATGGAACAAAGGTTCGAGGTTCCATATTCCATTTGATTGACCGTATGTTGTTTGATTCGCCGATGCAATCTTGGATTGCTAGGAATCAAATCTAGAATGTCAAGAGCATGAAAGAAAGCAAATCGACCCAACTTCTCATTTTGCTTCCCCGTGAAGTTTTGTTTTTTTTCTTTTTTGGTTCTCCTTTTCGAGTCGCTCAAGTTACATTTTATTTAAAATTGGTGACATCAAGCTTATTGCATAGAATCTACGTAGACGGGGCATCGAGCAGTTGATATAGTGCACTCGGGGATATTCGGAGCTTGTTCTTTGAGCGATTTTATGGCTTGTTCTTACAACATTCCCCAACAGATTACCAAAAAAAAAAAAACGCCATATATTCTTTATTCTTTTAGATAAATTGGATATAAACCGGCCCTTTTTTTTCAGATTCTTTTTCTCAAATGGCTCCATCAATTTTGCCATGGATCAAAATTTTTTGTACCCTATAGAAGAATGAGCTATATATAAGCAATGCCACACAAAAATAGAAAATGCATTGTTTTTCTTTCAAAGAATTTACTTCAGTTTAGTATTCGTCCTTTGGTGGAGAAGAGGTCGAGAATTCGAATTCAAAAGTGAAATTCACGACAAAAAGGCAACTATTCCAAATTGAAGCCATTAAAAAGAAAACAAAATGTAAAAGAAGAAGATTGTCTCCTTATGTCAGAAGCCATTGCTTTTGCTTTTTAGTAAAAGAAAAGAGAATTTCCCACCGTCTAACTGTTTTGTGAACGAGCGCGTGTCGGGAGCACCGACTAAATAGCGAATCGGAGACACTTTCGGATTTTAAATATTTTGAACGTTCTCGTATTGCAAATTAATTAAAAATTTACTAATTAACCTGCTTTCTTGAATGTCACCTTATGCAGAGCACCACGAGACCTCGGGGGAAAAAAAAAACCAAAATGAAAAAGATTATTCGGATCGAAAGCGCGTGGGCGTGGGCCCCAATCGCGGGTCAAAAAAAACTAAAATACGCGGGGCCCCCGGTTAAATCGTAGCCAATAGCACCACGACACGACGAGTTTCGCTCTTTAATTTTAATTTTTAATTTTTAAACCCACGGTTAATCCGCTGTAGTTGCCAATTGTCGGCGATGGCGTGCCGACAATCACGTGTAAAAAGCGCCCCTCGCGGCGGCCCACCGGCCCCACCGACGCCTGCTGCGGCATTACTTTTTTCCAATTAATAAAAAAAAAAAAGGAAATCGAAGCGGGCGCCCACGTGGCGCGTTCCCGGATGCGCCACGTGTCGCTGGCGGAGATGTCGAGAGGTCGATGTTTGGCGCAACGAACGTCGTACCGCGGGAAATCTAGAAACTGCCAAGGCTCCTAACCGACGGGTGTCAGCGTCCAAGGGGGACACGTGTGGGCCTCGGAATTCGACACGTCGATGAGACGACAACCGCACTTGGAACGATAACTTGAACTTTGACCGTGATTAAATCCATCACAGCCGTTGATCCCATAAGTCTATTTAACGCAATCAACAATCACGACGCATCTGGATTTATTATTCTAAGTCCATGCAAGACTTACCCCCGCACTTGATAGCAAAGTGGAATCCCAGCCATTTTGCACGTAAAATAAAGGGCGACGCTATTTTGAATTTGCCTACCACGATTTGATCCTTCAAAATGCCAAGGCGCGTGCGCGAGGGTCACTTGTTAAACAGCAAAATCGGAGAAAATTTTTCAAATTGTAACATTTTGGATGTCCCTATATCACACGCGACAGATACTGTTCCATGAATGTGTGATAACACAACTTGACCGGTAACGATAGTTATGTCGCGTGCATAAACAAAATCACGACACTTTACTATGCTGCGAATTGATTTTTTAAATTTAGAATTTCCAACAAAATGCGGAGCCGGCAGAAAGGGTACTTAATTAATTGAGAATATATCAATTAACCTACTCCATTGAATTTTGTTTTAACAACCCCCCCCAAAAAAATAAAAAAAATAAAAAGAGAGGGGAAATAGGTGTGCTATGTGGCCTAATGCAAAGCACCACACTTGGAAAAATTAAAGCATGGGAAAAGGGTAATTGGGGTTCAAAGCGCGTTGGGCCATCAATGGTGGTGGGTCAAGGAGGACAGCTCAAAGGGCGCAATTTATTAATTGTGACGCGACCGACCAAAAGGACTCGGACCCTGTTCAGTGGTGCGTAAAGTAAAGTGATGCCCCCGATGGTTCTGGGATTTTGGATAAAATGGACGGTGGCGGCGCTCCCCCTGCGACGCCGTTTTATGGGGGCGGTCGGAAAACCCGAAGGGCACATGGCCATGTGCCGTTCGGGTCGGACTAAAGGGAGGTACTTACCTTGGTCATTCGTCCCTGAGTTTTGGCCTTTTGGTGCCCTGTGGGCATTACAAATTCCAATTCGTAAACTGTTTCAAGTAAAGTTTTATGTTCGGTGTAACAAGATATCGGAATTTCCTAACAAAAAATATGCTTAATCGGTGTTTCGAGGAACAAAAGCCCCGTTTAGAAGAATAGTTCATAATTCCTCGAGTAGAGGTACTTCTCTTGACAATGCTCTTCTTCTTTTCCCATTCTCATATTCCTACTTTCCTTTATTTTTCGAATTATCTCAATGAGTTTCTGCCTTGATCGGCGAGAATAAAGACAATTGCCCGCTTCATGCATATCATCACGTGACCGGCGACAAAACCAACTAAATGCAGGTGAGAGTTTCGAAAACTTTGGACGGAAAATAAAATTGAGAATGCTTGTTATACAAAGTGATATGATTGGTCGATCACACTACATCGACGGTGCAGCGCGATACATTTGTATTGAATGCCTCCTGGCTAACGACCATGGCGTGACATGTCTCGGGGTGTTGATTGATGTATAGGAATTGCGTGTCGCCAGGACGGGGTTGATGTTGAAGAAAGAGGTTTTAGATGTGAGGAGGACAGAGACAAATCATAGGGGTCGGTCTGTTAGGGCCGCGTGTCCATGGCCATGCACGCGGCTTCTAATACTAGGCTAGGTTGTGTTATGCACGGTAAGGCCGACGGTGAGGTCACCCTTTGAGATGAGAACAGTTTGAATAGAAGCTGTTCAAACCACTGGACTTCAAATCAATTACTTCAATGACTCGTAGTTTTCAAAGTAAATCAAATGACAATGGTATCATTACCTTTCCAATTCAAGCATCACGTATTACCCCAACAGCGTAAAGATGAATACTACAATAAAGGGGAAAATCATCCTCTCTTTTATTGCTTGAAGTTCCAATCAATTACATCAGCTCATACACCGTATAATCGTATATCCCTATATTTCCTTCAATCTACAGCTCTCCCCTTTATTCTACAAACATATTACACGACATTCTTTGCGTGAGTTGGATCTAATTGAAGCTACTCTTAACACATAAAGATTACTATTTATACTTCATTGCGGTCAGGACTTACAAATTATCTCTGGAAGCTCCCAGCGCCGACTGTCGAAAAGACAGGACGGATAATTAGGAAAAGAACTATTAGCCCAAATGAGATACGGACCATATGGTTTCTCCATGAAATGCCATCTACTTTTAGTTGCAAGACACTTACGTTATTTAGAAGCCGGAGTGCAGCGGGCCGGGTGAATTTTCTTGCAAACAGGAAGCATCGCGATGGCTTCCCTTTGCTGCTGCACCATTCTCTTCGGTTTTCTGTCGCATAGTGGATGTTATCGATATCCTGCAATAAATTGAACAGATCCATTTACAAATCCAAGATGTTTCCAAACGTTACACAATATACGCATGTAGCCGTAACAAAAAATGAAGTATCGATCAGTACAAAAAGATCTTGTTAGTTTTGTTTCACCACGATTACTAGAGCCTGCAGAGCACCAAATCATGACCTATATTATTCCTTTTTTCCCATAACTAGGTGGAAACTAAAACCTGCACAGATTCGCAGATCGAGAAAACCTTAAGAGTACGTAGGCTATCAGTATCCACATGTTGGGTGACTAGCTGAGGTCTACACCTAATGATTGTGAGGGTCAATTTCTCACCGCAACACCATCAAACCATATCCCGTGATGGCATCAAAGTTTAATAATGTGTAAATGAAATTTATTCTGAACTCCAGATACGTGGTCACCAGTCACTTAAACTTGAGGGAATTCAGGGGTGATACTGCAGAGGAAAGTAAAGGTGGCGACACCTAGGAAACATGGAAAGGAAGATTTGGTGTAGTGGGATTATCTGCATAAGAGCAACAGGAAGTGTTGGTGAAAGCTGCTGAGTTTAAGACCCAATCCCAAAGCCAAGTATTATAATCTTCTTAAACTTGCTTCGTCCAAAGGACTTGCGTAATACCGTGGTAGCAGCATCCCTTTTTATAACCAGGACATTAATAATTAAAGCTCATTAACCAAAACAAACCATCACCATTCACACATATTCAGAAGTTTTATACGTATATGTATGACGGGTCTTTATCAAATATCCGAGTTAACTTTGGGGAGAATATAATGCTTTGACTAGGCATTTAATTCACTGCACAGCAGACAAAGCACTGAAAAGGGGAAGAAAGTTTCTAATTAAATGCTTCGTTGTCTCTGCAATACCATCTGCAGAAGGACATTGCAATCTCCGACACCAACCAGAGAAATTACATCGGCCTAACAAATGAAATGATCATACCTTTATGGATTGAATTAGCATTGGAGTAGCATCAGAAAACTTGTAAGTCACAGGATGCCATCCACGACGCTCACGGTCTTTAGAGGATGAAAGATCCCATGAAGAATGTGTCAGTGATCTTCGTGTAATTTCTTCTTCAAGGCCTTCCTGCTAAATTTCGAGAAACACAGACTTCAGAAGGTCGAAGTAACACTTCACATAACCAGAATTTATTGTCAACTTCCTTTTCACATATTAGAAATTTAAAAAACAATCCTATCAGCGTCATACATAAAGGAAAAAAATATCTCTTGAAGGCATAGTCATTACAACCGCAGTAGGGTTATTTCCTATTAACGATCAAATGAATGAGAAATGGCTCTTATGTCCTATTCCTACACGCATGTTTATGAGTTCAACCATTGTACTTTACAGCAAATATATCTCCATTAGTCCTTCAACTTTAGGAGGAGGGACATAGTGAGTTTGGGAAAAACTTTGAAAATAGTTTGAGAAATCTCTTTTTAATAGTAGGAAGCTAGTGCATTATGCTCTCTCCAAATCAAAAAAAATGTTTCTGTCAGACTAGTGACCCATTCTGACATCGCTCGTATTCCTCTCTGTTGACGTATAAAGGTAAACTCAAAATTGAAATCTTACAGCAAGAAGGGTCTGCACGTAATGTTCATCAGGTATACAATTGTGCTCCTTTGATGCATCAACTGGCTGCATACAAGATCATTAGCAACCGCTTCATTCGTGAAGGAGCAAAGAGAATTTCATGGTTCAGAATAGACCATCCAGATATACACATTCAATCTAGAGAGCGTCAAAACAATACAAGGTCCACCCACTACATAAGGAAACGGACATTTTGGTCCTCAAAGTTGGAGATAACGAGGGAAATCAAGTAGGGAACTCACAAGGGGATGATCCCTCCAAAACTCAGGTAGTGATTTCCTCTGCACAATGATCATAATCCAGAGTCAAAACATTTCAGTCATGCTTAAACAGAGGAACATCATATGTCAAAAGGTTTCTGAACTTTCTACTAAAAATAGCGAGGTAAGGCCATCTTAATAAACCTTGCAGTGCCACTGAAACATTGGAAAGACTGTATTATCCTTTACCACCACTTCAGCGTGTTTTCTGGACAGAACAACCCACTAAAAACCAGAGAAAAGCAACACATTAGAAAAACTTGGAGATAAAAGCAACATGTTATTCCATCCTTGTCAGAAAATCAACAGATAAAAGATTAGCAGATATAGTATTTCTGCTATACTAGAAAGGAATTAAGATGCTAATCTGTTACCTGAGATCCTTTCCTCCAGTTATGAACAGGTATAATTGGACCCATTTTTGGATTATAACGGCCCTCTTTTGTATCTGCAAAGCTGGTTCGGCCAAATACTTTATCAATAATAGATCCGTCTATGGAGCCAATAGTCATTATAACAGAGTAATAAAACGCATTCAGGTAAAGACACGATTTGAACAATTTATAGAGACACCACTAGGCCTTCCCAATATGTTCAGTAGCACATGGCCCCTTCTAAGCCATGCACACTCAATCTGGTTCCTTCTTCTTCATAAACCACTAGAAGTTACCTTATCATGTACTCAGCAATGCAAATACATCTTCCAACCAACTAATATGAGGCAACAAAAGCTACATAAAGAAGAACCCATGTTTAAAACTCTAAAAGCAAGCATCTTTGCACTTTCTACCAATTTCGCCTCCCATGGGTACTTTGTGTTTAGTTTCGCATACGAGTTCTGTATGTGTTAATCCTACCTTTACAATCACGTGACCTTTTCTTTAGCACAATGACCCATAGCTAACATGGCTCTCACCAGCCAAAAAAACCAACAAAATGTCTCCTTACCAAAAAAAAAAAACCAACAAAATGTAGTGCGAGAAAATAATGGACGAATTTAGGCTACACTTCATGTAATAACCAGAATGTCCGCATGACTAAAGAACATGCAAAGAAGATCACATATGTTGTATGCCAACAGAATGATCAAAGTGAATCAGATAATGTCTGAACCAATTTCGTAAGTTTATCCCTTTTTAAAACAGTGACCACCTTCCAAATCAACTTTACACTGAATAAACTGAATTTTAAATTAAGGAGGCAAGTTTAAAGAGGATATCTATCAATAGAAAATCAAAACACCATTCAGCATAAGCTCCCAAACAAAATCTGCCAGCTCCACTCACCTATCCACAAAACTAGTTGCTGTTGACATTATATAGTCGTATGTGTAGCTGAAGTTATATAGAGGTAAGCAGCTGAGAAAATGCAAGAACACAAAATCTTTGTTAGAGTTCTGTCAAAGGAAGTTGAATAAGGGCCTCTTGCCTTAAGAACAAGCCCTTTCAAAAGTGATAATGAAAATAACCAAAGGATTTCCTCTAAGAAATTTGCAATGAAGATACTCAGACAAAATTCCGACTTGAACTGACTGTCGCCGAAGCAACCAATGTTAGGATGATTCCTTACCTGTCTGACAGAAAAACAAAGCGTTCATTAAAAGGCTCTTCCAGTGCATGTCTAAGAAGAATACGCTCCGCTTCTATCATGCTTGCTTCTCCCCAATCCACCTGGTGAAATCAACTGAACTGAGAACTCTTGTGCAAATGAAAGAAATTTAAACCTTTCACTACATAACAGCATTTAAACCAGTCAACATGCACATAGGTTTCAGTTTGCACGAACCATCAGTACTTTTGAATCGAAAATGCACCTAATGGAGGTAAATGTCCTTGTATTCACATACAACCGCTTGTTCCCAGAAAATTCTAATAAGTAATAAATATTAGCCTTTTTTTAAAAGTTTTGGACCAGATATTACACAAGTACTGTGGGAAGCCACAGAAAGTGTATGTGCAGTTAAAACCTCCGGCACAAAACAGGAACATGCACATATATCTGCACTAAGAATCAAAAGAGAGTAAAACATAAAGGAGAATGACCCGGTGAGGTGAGTAATAGTACCTGTACACTGTCATTAACTTGCCGATTTAAAAAATAGACCGATCTTGTAGTTGCCTTGTTTAACACAAACCCAGGCCTTGAATGGACTAAAATTGAAAATCTGTCCTCCTCACCCTGCAAAACATCCCGAAAAATCTGTACTAAACCTCAAAAAGCACCTAAAAAAATGAATTAACTGAGCCATGAAAATACAAGAGACATCCAAGATCTGCCATGTCTGCAGAGCCATGAAAACTTAAGTTGTTCAAAGCCAACCTGCCTGCAGAGACGAACTAAGGCCACATAACTAGAACCCGATTTCAAATTCTAGTAACAACATCAGATCCCAACAGGAAGGGCATCCTGTGCAATATTTGTCTGAACAAATAGAATACTCACACGACAGAAGATTTGTTTCTTTCATCAATGCTTAACTATTTACCATAAGATGCACAACCTATCCGGGTTTTACCCCCTTGACAATTTTTCAAGCTCTCTCTCTCTCTCCCTCTCGGGGGGATCTGAGATTGAAATAAACAGACATCGAACAGTACCAAACTGAACTAGATACTGAAACGTGCTAGTGATGATCTTCACACATGATATCTCAATCCACAACGTGAGCCACTGTTGAGTATATAGACGCCATGAACTTTCCTACTGGGATACAATGTTTCAGATACGTATGTGTGTATTGGCTGACTAAAATGCCTCCCTATCATGTCCTAACGAAAAAGTCCAGAATTTTAAAATGATCACCCACAAATTGACAAAAGCAGACATTGGAACAGAATGCGAAGCCATCAAATTCAACAGCGAACAATACCATCGGACCGACGCACCTGGAGAAACGCGTGCCAAACCACGTCCAGCGGGAGCCGATTCCGGGCTATAAACAGGAAGGCGATCTTGGGCTTCGGGGCAGAGCGGTAATGCAGCGAAGCCAACTTCACGACGCGGCTGTACTGACTCTGCATCAGCGCCAAGCTCGCGAAGCACAGCCCTAGCAAGACCGCCGCGAACAGCTTCCTCTTCCATCTGTGCTGAGACTTCTGCTGCTGATTCCCCTTGCGCTTCATTTAGGACCGCCCGCCACCCTCTACTCGGATCCTCTCTCCATCGCCCTCCGCCGCTCCAATCCCCACAACCACAGACGCACACGCACACGCGCACGCGCACGCATTACGCGAAGAAGCTCCAGGCTCCTCGAGTTCTTCGACGCCGCTCCCGCAAAGCAAGCCGCCGCCCCCCCTGCTCCTCCCTCCAGCCGAAACTTCTTCGCTTCAAAAAAAAAAACCCCCGCCCTCGGCGCTCGAATTGCGCCGCGAGAGATCCGACCAGATCCGCCGGAACGCGAGGACCGGCTAGGACTTCATGCGCGGAGAGGCTTGGGGAGGTGAGGAAGTCGTCGACGGGAATTCGAAGGAAGGAATCGCGAGGAGAAGCGCGGCGAGCTCCTGGTGGCGCGCCGATTCGGGAAGCGAAGGAGGGGCACGCGGAGCAAGCAACCGCCGCATGAAGAGGGCCTTCTTCAGGAGTGGACTGAAGAGGAGACTAAGAGAGAGAGAGAGAGAGAGAGATGTGTTGGCGTTGCAGAGAGCTGCTGCTGCTTCTTTCTTTTTTAGTTACGGGGGGGTGATGGCGATGGCGATGGCGATGGTGATGACGATGGTGTCGTAAAGGTTCGAGTTTTTATGGGTTGCGTGCGGTGCAGGAGATCAGATCCCCACCTCATCCCCCCACCTTAATCATTCCGCATTTATGCCAGAGCGAAATGCTGTTCACGAGTTCATTGCGCTTCAAGACTCACGATAAAACATAAAAAATGAACTGAATTTTTAAATTTCTTAGAATGGACAGTTGCACAACCAATTCCTGAATTTTGATCTAATATGTAATGTGTATCTGAATTTTTAATCTGTATAATGTGATCCCTGAAATTTGACTCGGTGTTGTTATCCCCAGACTTTATGAAAATATTTAAAAGTTCATGAACTATATCGAATATTTGGCTAATATTTAGGGATCGCATTGAACAAATTAAAAGTTTAAGGTCGACATTGCACATTAGACCAAACTGCATGGTCATATTGAACAAATTAAAAGTTCAGGAATAATATTCAATATTGAGCCAAACTTTAAGGATCATTTGTTTTGGTTTCTCTCCTTAAAGAACGGTTTTATAATTCCTGAAAGATGGATCATCATGATTTTTATTCTACGATAACTGTGCAAGTGGCTCCGCAGAACAAATCACATGTGATTGATGGTATTGGCCTCAATTTGATTTTGATGATTCTAAAATCGCCTAAAATATATTTGGGTTTATTTCAAATGTCGGGTAACCGTTGCTAGATTTCTTAGAATTGCCTTTTATGGGGCATTGCCTTTTGTGGGGGCACTTCTATGTTTCCCGAAAGATGGATCATCATAATTTTTATTATACGATAACTGTGATGTTGACTTTGCAAAGCAGATAGCGCATATTTGATGGTATTAGCCTCGATTTGATTTTGATGATTCAAAAAACACCTCTACTCACGATATGATATATATGCGTTTGCTTCAAATGCCGGGTACCCGTTGCTAGACTTTTGAAGATGACACGCACCATGCGATTGGACTCATACGTCCGACTTGTCGGATACTTGTGCATAATAGCCCTTTCCGCCATGAACAATGCTTAGGCAATCGGAGGAGCTTGATCGGGCGATCGAAAGGGATAATAGTAAGAAAAATCGTTCGATTATTCAATTTAAATATTAATCAAAACTAAAAATAAGAAAAAATATATAATGATTTTTGAATGAAATGAAGATAAATAGAATAAAAAGAAATAGGAGTAATATGAGGTAAGGATCCTTTTTGTGAGTGATTGGTCTTCCTGGGCTATTCTATTTTGTTTCTACGTTCCTATCTCGAGATAATAAATTGAGGTCGTATTGGCATTTTGAACTTCACTATTGAAATAGCCTTTCGGGTCATATATTTTTGCTACTTCACCCGTTTCGTAAAGTATTTTACCTGGTGTAACAACAACTGACCACTATTCGAGAGATCATTTACCCAAACACATACGTGTTTCCATAGGTCTAACTGTAATTGTATCCATAGTTCTTCATCATGTCCCACGCTTCCCGTCATTGCTCGTCTGTCCACTTCTATTTGTCTCGGGCTACACTTGGCGGAACGATTACGACACAATAAATTTCAAAAGTCAAGGGACACATCCAAAAAGAAAAAGAAATTCAAGATCTGCATCGAATATCGAGCGAAAGTTTAAGGATCGGCGATGCCGATTACCCTCGAAATTAATTTGAAAAATCAGAAGTGGAATTGGACTGGCCAACTACATAAGTCGTTAGGATGTAATAATGAAGTCTCGGCAGACAAAGTTCATTTTAGTGGGCACACTTCTGTTGTGTTTTCTGAAATGGAGGTTTCAAGTCAAAGCAAAATGCACCTAACAAAGCAAGTTGCTTCTCTTAATCATCGATTTGGGGAATCATAATGATGAGCCGATGATGCGTCAACGTCGGAGCTAGCGGTTGGCTTGCCCTTTGCTCGAAGGGCTGGCTTTGTATGGATTCACCAGCAAGAGCAAATGACAAAGAAGATTCACATCATTGCATTTGCTCGACGATGTTGCTGGACCGGTGCTATTCGCCCTCGTGTTTGACTTTTTGCGATGCTTTTATCGTCAGCCTCGAGACGTTAAGGAATCTTAATCTGCTCGTGCGCCATACGTGTTGGTCTCGCCAAAATCATGGGGGCGATGTGTATGGCTTCGTTAGGGAAACTTGGGGGGGTACGCGTTTTATGTCGTGAATTTGATACAGACTCCTTTCGCTCTAGCGAAAATTCGACCGGCGCTTAAAACTTTTGGAATTGTCCTCGATGGTTTGTCGGAGGTTGGCTCGACCCTCCGGACTCTGAGATGCTAATAAAAAAGACGATCTTAACCGTTAGATCGGGAAAAGTACAAAAAAAGTTATGAACCCATCACATTATATAAATTCAGTCATAAATCCTTCAATTGGACCAATTTAATTTTAAATCTTTTTACATTGATACCAATCGAAAGTCTATTCACCAATTTAAGTCGGAAGTTATTGACTAAGACGCTCGATCGCTCTACGTGACACCCGCTAATACTAACCTAGACTTTTTTTTTATAATTTCTTTTTTTTTTTCCTTTTTCTTCCATGGCTTGTGCTAAGCCGTAGACTCGCCTAAGCGAGGGTCGCCCTCGCCAAGACAAGCGAGGGTGGCCTCATCGGGCGTCGCCTGGACAAGGGTTGCCTCGCTAGTGTCGACTCTCGCCGGCCATGGCCTGCGTCGAGGAAAAAGAAAGAAAAATATTCAAAAAAAATAATAAAAATTATCTACGTCAGGGCTACTCGTGCCACATAGGACGGTTGGTATCCACGTCAACAATTTCAGGCCTAAATTAGCCGGATAGACTCGATTTATATCAATGTGTAAAAGTTTAGAACTAAATTAGTCTAATAGAAAGTTTTAGAATTTTTTTGGTACTTTGCCCCTTTAGATCACGTTGTATAATAGGCATCATATGTATCGGTCTCGTAAATCGAACAAGTATAGCCAACAAAAGAGTACCTAATGATGGGGATCGGGACACAGGTTTCTATGTAGACTATTGTTTTGGAGCCCGTCTATTTGCACTTCAGGTTGAAGTAAGGCTAGGCTATCGATGTGTAATTTTTGTACAATTCTGTGCATCACGATGAAGAGTGCATGAGAGCTTTATACGATGACTATTTAAGATAACAATGTATTATGATATCGATTATAATCAATCGGCTTTATATACAATCGAGGGAGATAATCGAGGAAATATTCTAATTGTTTCTAACATTCCATTAGACTCGAGGTGACAATGAAGATGTCGGGAGTTCGGACAAAAGACTAGAAAGCTCCTAAGTGGATTGCTGAAGCGGATCAGGCGTTCTTAATGTCGAATATCTAAATTCGATCTTATCAACGATGCAAGAAAAGTAATGGAAATTCCCAGACAACATAAGAATTTACGTGGTTCAACAGGGGAGATGTTCCGCTCTACCTACGTCCACTGGTTAAAGCATCATGCTTTCGAAAAAAGATGACCATCGCCCAGATTGTAGTTGAATTTTTGGCATGCACCTTAACAAAGGTACATATTATCCCGGGACCGCATATTGCGAATTACTTAAATTTCGAAAAGAATTTTACAACCCAAAGCTTAAGTTCAACAATTTCTAGGGATAAAATTAATTATCTTAGAGATTTTGTTCCAAATATTGCAAAGGTTGTTAATTCCTTTGCAAGCGATGTTAAAAATGCATCCCAGGCTGCCATGGGAAAGGCACAACTAAAGCGGTTGCGGAACTCAAAGAAATTATGCAAGATCTTCCCTCACGCAAATTCCATCTACAAGCAAGAGAATCTTGCACTGATACCGATGATGAATATTAGGCGGCCATATTGTTCGAAGAACTTCATGGTAAGCGACATCTTTGCGCTTACAAAGTGGCAAGTTTTCTCAAAGCGAGAAATGCATTATCATTCCACCTTCAAGGAAATTTTGGCAGTAAAGAATAGAATAAAAAGTTTGAATTCCATCTTATTGGCCACCATTTTGGTAGAACTAGGATACGGCTTCTTTTCCCCAAATGACCAAATTCAAGCGACATCACTCATCCTCAAAGCCTGCTTAGATGGAATTTGAATGGTTTTCGAATCATAACTCTTTCGAAAACCAAACACATTCATATGAAAGAAAAATGTTTGAGACAAAAGCAATCAACATGTATATTCTCGAGACATTTCTGGCAAATACAAGATTGAACAGAATATCCTCAAGAAATAATTGGAAATTCAAAAGGATAAGCTCATTGAAAATTACTCTCGGATTACCTCGAGGTCCCTTTTCCTTACTTTGGAGAAAAATGATTTTGCAAACTTAATGGCTATTATGGTATCTAACCAACAAGTAATAGATTGAGTTTCCCACAAATTTATTATTGCATGTCGGGATTCGTTCAACTAAATGAACACGAGAAAACCTTTCGTGCTCAAATGGTTTTACCCTCATATCGAAAATAAAAAATTTAAAGTCTTTTCCATATAAATCGCATTATTGTAAGAAGCATGGGATTTCACGTCTTGGGTCCGTCTTGATCTGAACATAAACGCAAACTAGGAAATTGGCCTTCACCGGCCTTATCTCGAACCAAATCCACAACCAAGCCTTGGCATCAGAATGTGGAATGACGTTCCCACAAAACACTTCGGAAGATAATTTCGAACGTTCGACAGTAGCAGAATACGAACGTGCAAGCGGTTGCACGACTCGGATTATGACTATAACTCTAGCATTCTAGCTATCATAGCCGAATTCTTGTTTCATATGGGACGGGACAGAAGTCCAATAACTCGTGCTAAGTGTGTTTTGTCGCATCTCAGCGCCTATATAAGACCATGCCTTTCTAAAATCTCTTTTTCTAACATAATCTCTTGATAATCGAATAACGAAATACAAGATATCAACCTCGACACTTAAAACCTGTAACGGGCGGGACGACAGGTCGTTGGCATTTATTGCAAATGCGCGAAACGACAAAAAGAACCGAACTGCCTACGTTCCAAAGCACGTCGTTCCGGCCCAAAGAAAATTTCGCCGGAGCGTGTCGGAATAAGTAGATTCCGACGAGCTTCGATCGATTCGAATCTCCAGCTCGCACTCCAATAGCCGCCCGAGATGACTGTGTCGACGGCATGGCGCTCGCGGCGAGGTTTCTCCGCCCGATTAGGGCATCTCTAGCTGCTTCGAGCTCTTCTCCCACGGCTCTGTCTCGCTCTAAACCCCCAGGCAAGCGAATTTCCGCGTTTTCATTTCCAATCAAAGCATGCAGCGATCCCCGGTTTCGAAGTGAATTTCGTGTCTGGACTTCGTTTTTCCAGTTCGTCGTGCCGAGTTCGGGATTGCGAGGGCGTGGTTCGAGGGGATTCGGCCTGCGATACGCGATCATCGGGTTCCCCAATTCAGCTGTGGATTCAGCATTCGGGCGCTGTGTGCCAGGAGCTTTGGTAGAGCAGGCAAGTAAAGCGCGTTGTCCTTTGGCCCAAGAAGGGTGTTGTCCTGTGTCGTTCCTGCTGCTAATAGCCTTCTATAGCAGTTCTAATTGCAACATTTGGGTCTGTTCTGTACATGCTCTAGATACCTGATGTGGGCTATCATCTTGATTGAGTCCAAGTTATTTGGGCGGTACTGATGTTTAATCCCTTTGGTTAACTATGCATCCCAATGTCACTGCTGTTCCTCTTCACACTGAAATTAACCTATGAACTGTGTCAATTTGTCTGCCTCTCATGTTAGTATTGACCTCTTTCAGGAAGTAAAGTGGGAACATTTATCAGCACTTCAGTTATATTTGGATCAGTTCATCCTTGGCCACACTTTGCATTTTCCCTGGATGGTGAGTGGAGCAACGAGTCATTGGATTGTGCTATAAGTTTCTCAGTTCACCATTGAATCTGAAATCTTCTTGAACATGTAGGTGAAGACACTGTGAAAAATGATGAACAAGCGAAGATGCTGGATGATTCCAGTCTGGAAGATAGTCCCAAGGCCTTTTGGACGCTTGCTAGGAAACTCTGGCTCCCCATCTTTTTCCTTGTTACTGTCTTGTTGAACTGGGACCATCCTATTGAACTTGCAATGAGAAGTATTCTATTCCTTCTCAGCACAAAGCCCAGTCCTTTATCAGTTTATCTTCCTATAGAAAAGGTAGGTGGTTTACTCATTTGTGTTTTATTGGTCTCTATACTTGTGCTTGATTGGAGAGCTAGTCTAGGACTCAAGAACACGATATGGACAAGGGCATGGCCTAGTGGTGGTCCAGGCTACACGCTTACCAAGATCCATGAGGTCTCGGGTCGATTCCCGTCTTCCGCTCCCATATCTATTAAAGGAGAAAATAAACAGAGATCTGTAGAAATGGACAGTTATAAGTTCGTTGTTTTGTCTGTAATATGTCGAGTTCAAGGGCAACTTCTCATGGGCTCCTCTAAGCATCAAGAATTCAAATTTCGAAAAATATTATTTATTAACAAAGTTTTTTCTTTTCCATCCTTCTCCTCAATATCATGCGAGTGCATCTGTGCTTACTTAACCTGATTATAAGGGTGATAATTGTTCTTGTTTCATAATTTCACTGTTCAGAGAGATGTGTTGATCTGTTTCATTAACTGTTGACAGCTACTGAATTGATCTGATATGCCCCGTTAGTTAGAGCTCTTTCTCACAAAGTATAACTTAAAAAGGAAAGTTGGCTCAATTTTAATGATCCTTTGAAGTTCCATTCCCAATAATTATTAAATTGGAGATGATGCTTAATGTTCATATGGCTATGTCTTGTTTCTCTTTAGATATTTGAAAGGAAATAGACTTTTGTGGTTGTCGATTTATTGTAATCTATTGCTGTTGTTTGGCAACCGGTTGACATCAAATCTTTTATGTTCTAGCTGTGTAATCAATCTATGCATCAAGATTCTGACCTATACAGACTAAAGGTATGTTCACTGCTGCCATAAGCTTTTCTGATCTTCCACTTTAGCCATGAGTGAGGAGGTGGATCATGGAAGATGTTTTGAATGTGCCAATAGATATCTTTTTGAAATCTTCATCGAAAGCTCTCTCCCTTTTGCTTACAGATATTAGTCTGGGATCTTTGTGTGCATATTATTTCTCAATGAATCTGAGAACAATTTCATAACTATCCTGTGGCCACACATGTATTATTGATCCTTTTTGTTGATCAGATTTGCATACTAAACTGAATATCTTTACACTTGTTATGGAAGTGAAATCCGTGGATTGATGTTTCAGCAAAAACTGTCATTTTGGCTCTCTTCTAGATGTGCTCTGAGTAAAGTTAAAAAGTAATCATCTCATATATGTCTCTAATCTACGAATTGGTTTTTTTATTAGGAAATGTTGTGAAGTACCCTTGCGTGTCCAGTGCAGTAGCTATTTTTTGTTTCTCCGTTTTTCTGATCAGCTCAGTTCGTAGAGGCAAAAGGTGGTTCTTTTTGAAAACCCCTGATTGCATATTCAAGACTTGAGACAATTTAGAAAAACAAGCATTGGTTAATCAATGAAAAGATTCATCTTTTTATGGGTTAAACAGTTCATATCTAGATTGATGTTTGCATCCTTCAATTTTTTGCCCCTTTCTTCTTTCTCTAGCGATGAGCATGACTGACAGCTTCGTGGGCATTCACATGCATTTGTCTTAACTACATTCACATCGAGATTATTTCTGAGTTACCCAGAGCATGTTCTCTACCAATGACGTGAAGAACCATTCTCTTCTTAACTTCTAACTGATATATCTGCCGGTCACCTACTTTGCAGTCATTACGTGCCAAGAAGGTTGAAGTCGAGGACTATCAGTTCTTCTGCCTTGCAAAGATTGAATCAACTGGTCAGAAATACATTTTGGTCGGAATTCTCGGTGGTTGGTGGCCTTTGAAATCTTTTCTATGGGAGGGAGCTTCTTTAACCATGAGAAATAGAGATCAGAAGAACGGCTGAATAAATATAGAGATAATGGTAATAACATCGGTATCCTTAAATGCACATTCCATTCGGAGTTCCTAGTCGCGAATTTTTTTCCATAGGTTTTGCAGTTCATCCAGCAGACGTTCTCTTCTATAGTATTTTGAATTAATGGGCCGATTCCTTTGACTACTTTTGCACAAGAGGGAGCAGAAAGTTTCCTTTCCATAATTACTTTTAGAATTGCCTTCAAGTGGTGTTGGTTTGTGATGTGGCATACTCAGAGGATTGCTTTAGTGTCGGCGAGTTCCGTCAGGATAAACGCTGCATAGTCTACTGCACCTGGTCGCGAATTGAAATCTTATTAACTAGTCTAGCGGGGTAAATGAATTAAACTCAGGAAGCTAAATTGCGGGCAGTCGAACACGATCGAGACATTTTCCTGATTAATCTTTCCATGGCTTTTCACTTAGTTTTAGTTTCTTTTTGGGGCCCGAATGATGTTCATTCTTTCTAAAAGCCAGTGACTGTCTGAGATGGTTCTACAAATCCCGAATTTATTTACACGTTTGGAGAGTTATTCATGTAGCCATGAAATTTGTGTTTATGACATCACAACCCAATTGAGAAATCATCTATCGAAAAACCGTGATTTCACTTGATGGATTGTATGATTTTAAGATTGTTTGCGGTGGAGAGAAAATTTAAGCTCTTGTCCTTGGCCATGTATTCAATTAGGGAAAAAGTAATCTTACAAAGTGTAGTGTACAGGCACAACATTATGTTAAGCAATTTTTCTCATTGGATTCATGATGTTAACATTATGTTAAGCGGTGGGTGTGAGGGCTGCTGGTGCAGGCCCTGTTTTCGGAGGCGCAGAGGACGCTTGGACAAAGAAGAAGATGAACAAGGAAGAAGAGAAAGAAGAGAAAGAAAAAGTTTTTACGAAAAGGCTGCTGGTCGTGCCACCGGAAAAAGCATGTCGGCTGGCGAAAATTTAGTTGGCCAGTGAGCTTACACTTTTATTTGAGACTAAGTGATCACTTTAGGTTGCTATCTGAAAATAAAGTTCACATTGAGCCACCTTTTGAGAAAATGAGTCCTCTTAATGTTCCTATTCAAAATTTATGCGACATAGCATGAAGTGACACTCCACAAAATTTCTATGTTACTTCCACTTTTTCAATATAATTTGGTAATTTTTGGCATGGCATGAGAATAAATTGCGATGATACTAAAATGAAAAAGATTAAGTTCAGTACTCGAAGCTATTATGACAGTAACAAGATTAGCTTGAATCGATATGATTTCGGATGATTTGATCCGTATATATAGTCATCCGGTTGAGAACGAAATGGCTCATCAACCATAAAACAATGACATGACCCAATGGGGTGCAAATTTGTACTAAATGATGTTTGGCATCGTCTCTCCCAGAATCTCCCCATCTAAATATTGTTGACAAAAATGAGACAGAGATCAAATTTGCACGTTTTTGCACAGATGTTTCCTTTTTCCATTTACATATGTTGGCCAATTACCAAAGCATACCATCGCTGAAACTGTAAATTCTAGCTCGGCCTTTGTTTGATTATCAATTTCATTTTCGGTACAAGCAATCTATCCGAGTCGATCTAGCCATCCGAACTCAGTTCGAAGACCTTTTAATGAAACTACGTCGTAATTTATATCTCGGTTCAGATTCCAATTTTCCTATCGACTAACAAATACTTTATTGAATTCGTATCGATTCGAGATAAGACTCGGAGTTGATTGTAACTAGTGAACTAACTGAATACTACAAGGCGAACCAAATTGCCTGATTAGTTTCATTGATGTTTTTTTTCAAATTAGGTCGTTGTCGTTCTCTTACATGGATTAATTAAGGGGTTTTTGTTCTTTTGTTGTTGTTTTCCTAAACCTAACAAATCCCTTTTTAAATCTCCCAACTGCCTCGATTCTTCTTTGACAAAAAATTGTGTGTGTGTGCCCTTCTCAATCCCCCATTAACACCCAACCAGCCAACCTCTTAAAAAAATGAGGCCGATGCTATTGCCACAACGAAGATTGCCGTAGCCACAACCTTCTAAACGTGGTGACCAAATTAACCTCGTTCTGGGGCCCACTGTGTTTAACATCTTCCCCCTTCTGTCTCTTAAAAATGCATACAATTGAGAGAATATCTGTAGACCACAAAAGTCCTTCATAGGGGGAAATTTCCATGATGACTTCCTTTAAGATGGAAGACGAGAGAATCTGCTTGTATATGGATTGACCTCCAAAATCAAACCGACAATACTCTCTCCGGCAAGAGCATCGTAAGCACAAGATGGTGAAATCTTTTCTCGAGGACTCGATCGCATTTTGCCGGACTTTGAGATAAGGAGACACGATGGATCCTTTATTGAGATTTTGTCCTCCCAAGAGTCCGCATTAGAGGTAAGCGTTCGCATAGACTAGACTCACCGGATGAAGGTGACCCAATTAGCCACGTTGAACAATTTTGAGTAAAACGATTACTCAACGGTTTACCAGATTGAGAAAACTTCCGTCGAGATTCGCGATCCATTCTCTAGAACTTCACTAGATTATCTAGAGATCTCTAGATCAATCCCGACCTTTCTACAAAAATCTGGAAGTATTAAAAGTTAGTCAACGTGTATTTTTATGTAAAAGAATCTAAAATTAATATTATCTAGCAGAGATTTCTGCCATCGAAGCTGGTTGTACTGCTCCATAGATAAACCGAAAAAGCTATACTCCATATAAAGCTCACCAACTCTTGTAAATACAAGAACTACCTCGCAAAATTTTCCTTTCCTCGTCCCTTCATTCCTCATCTGCCGTGAAACAGCCTTCTCAACACTTTAACCCGTTAAGCAAAAGGGCATTTCAGTCAAAGTACTTAAAAGGGCGGTGCCCCGAGTCATCTAGGCCGTGGTAATAGTGCCGCCCAAAAAATTAAAGAAAAGAGAGAGAAAAAAAACAAAATAAATTAAATTTAACGTGGAAGACTTTTGACTCGCACTTGATCAGTGGCCCCGAGTCTCCCGGGGGCCCACCAGATTTTCTACCGTTGGAAGACAAATCCAGCGGCAGGTAATCCACCACGTCACTCCCCCGGAGCCTCCCGTGGGCCCAACAGATTCACCACATAAAGACGAAAAAATAAATCGTTTTGGGTCTCCATTTTTGGAGCTCGGCAGGTATGCGTTTAATAAAATTTATTTTAGGGCGTCGCGGCCCTCGCCACAACCCTTGCCGGTTGCGACGGCGAGGTCAGCCTCGCCTTGGCTAGGCGAGGCTCGACCTCGCCGTCGCGACTGCGAGCCGCCCTCGCCGGCCACAGGCGGCGGCAGGCCAGGAAGAAGAAGAACAACAAATCAATAAGCTTCTCGCGTCATATTTCCAGATAAATTATTAAAAAGGCGGCAAAACGGGTTATCCACCACGTCACGTTGCGGTCCCCCGATCGTCTTCCGAAGACACAAATAATCTCTGAATTGTAGCCTAACATGTAATATGACTCCTACATTTTTTTACTTATTTAATATGGTCTCCAAATTTTATAATATCGAGCATCTTCATATAATTTAGGGATTAAATTAAATACATACGAAAAAAATTTACGGTTCATTAAAAAAACAAAAAAACTTAAAAGTTTGAGCAACAATTTGTATGGTTCTCCCAATCTCCCTCTCTCTCACGACACCAACACTACATAAAGCCACCGCCCCTCGAGATACTTCGGCAAAGTTCGCGGCGTGTTGTGGCTCTGCGAATCGCACTTGCGAAACTCCCTTCGATCGTAGGGCGCGGAGATCTTCTTCTTCCGGTGAAGGATCGAGAGAGAGAGAGAGAGAGAGATCGGAAATGGCGATGCCGAAGGCGAAGGAGCTCGTGTCCTCCAACCCCGTCGTCGTCTTCAGGTATTACCTACCGCCGCCTCGCTCTTCCTTTGGCGCGGCGCGGCGGCCGGCGGGCCGAACCGCGCGGCCGTCGATCTGTCGTTGTTGTTGTGGCCCCGCGTGTTTGACGGCGGGAGGGGTGTGTGTTTGTGGTGCAGCAAATCGTTCTGTCCCTACTGCGTCGACGTGAAGAAGCTGCTGTCTCAATTGGGAGTCAATTTTAAGGCCATCGAACTGGATCAGGAGAGTGAGTCTCCCTCTCTCTAGATGTTGCCTACAGTTTTCTGTTCTGCCTGGAAGATTGTTGCTGGATTTGGTTTTCGTTTGGAGTTGTCGCCGTGTTTGTGCTGCCGTGCGTTACGAATGATGTCCAGTCGTGCTCGTGTGTTTGATGTGGAATTAAATGTTTATGAGTAGAGTTGCTTGGCGAGGATTTCGACCTTGGTCTGATCTGATCTTTTTTTTACGCGAATTAGAGACGTTGAATCGTTGTGGCCCTTGAGGATCATATCGGCGGTTTGATTCGGTGTGTCGCGACTCCCTGCCTCCGGGATGTTGATGCGGGAAATTGTTATCTGTTTTGATTAGCTGCTGAGTATCGGTTTTGCTTGAAAATTCGTTTCGCAGCAATAGCATCGTGATGACCTCGAACTACAGCTTCTGGTCGTTCATACTGTTTTTTTCTGCAACTTATGCTCTAAGCCCCAGTTGTTATATCTTGTCTTTAGCCTAGAGGTCGATTCGCGATATACGGGCTGTGAAAAACACAGTGAAGATTCCAGGAAAATAGGAATTTCTGCTTGATGCTGGTTTCCGTGTGATGATTTAGATCTTGTTATTTGGAGACTCTGAATATTGAAATCAGGGAAGTGTCTATTGGGCTACTAGATCTCGGCAGAAAAAGATTGGTTAGCTGAAGATTTGCTGAATGTTTGCCTCTAGAAATCCATGAAAATATAGGTTCAGTGAAGAACCAAGACCCGATTGTCTGATTCTGTTGGACATGGAAATGTTGGTGATTTCGTTCTGTTACGTATGGCTTATGCATATTTTCCCCTTAAACTGGTCGACAGCAATGATGTATCGATATATGTCTTTAGTTCTTCATTCTTATGCGATAAAACTGCTCAAAACGTCTAATTTGGTGTTCTATAGCTGATGGGAGTGAGGTCCAGTCTGCACTGGCCGAGTGGACCGGACAAAGGACTGTGCCAAATGTGTTCATTGGGGGGAACCATATTGGTGGCTGTGATGGTAAGTCTCTTGTTCCCAGTCGAAATTGCAGATGCCGAGCTTTAATTTTTCATGGTATCCCTCTTCGTGTTGGTTCATTCTGACTCGGTTTTCTATTGTCTCGCAGCTACGACTGCAATGCACAAGCAGGGAAAGCTCGTGCCTCTGCTGACTCAGGCAGGAGCTCTTGCTAAAGCTTAAGAAATTTTTTAGCTAATTGGTCGATCAATCTAGTAGTCAATAATTGCATACTATTTGCATATGGTGGTTGAGTGTCGTCTTTGGGCTCAGTTTTATGCTCATCGACTTGGTCTTGTTCTGTTTGACGGAGCGGCCAATTCCAATCGTGTGTGTTGGAGTTGTTAGACTCCTGCTGTTAAAGTTTTCTTTTCAGTGACCTTTATCTTGTGTTGTTCCATAGGTTTTTAAGATTGGGGGGCTCCTCTAGTGCTAAATAAAAAAGATCTTGGAGCAAGAGCTAGCTTTTAAACAGGCCAAGAAAGGCCTCAGCAAAGACTTGATGCCCAAAGGCGGAAGCCAATGAGCAATCGAGCAAAAGTGTTACAATCAAGAAACATTCGGAAGGCTTTTATGTAGGTCAAAAATAGGGCGGAACTCCTACTGCTCACAAGAGGTGGAGCTTCGTTGCGTCGAGGTTGCTACCGAATGGATAAAATATAATCACGGCCGTGAAAAATAGTGTATAATAAAACGGACGAAGCGTGTATTCTCCGAATCGTCTGGTTTCTGTCTAAACCAATACGAACCCGGCCCATGGGCAAAACGGACGCCGAATCTCAGCTATAACATGAGTAAGCCTAAGCAACTATCTGGGCACATATTGCCATTTCTACCTCATTATCTCCTGGACGGGTCACTTTTCTCATTTCTTCACCTCCATTGCTTTCTGCTTGTCCCTTTCGAGATCCTCTCCTCCGATGGCTTATCTGACAAATAATTAGCAACCATATGTACGAGGTCAAATGAACATATTTTTCAAAACAAAAAAAATGAAGAAAACCCTTTAATATGATCATTGAAGAACTTGTGCAGTCCGTATGTCAATGGCTTACATTCCGGATGGCTTTGGGGAACAACTCGGTCATACGCTTGAAAGAAGCTTTTATTCTCCTTCAGCAGCTCTTTCCACACTGCCAAAAGCACAAACAGTCAAGTACTTGTTATGGGAATCAGAGAGAGAGAGAGAGAGAGAGAGAGAGAGAGAGAGAGAGAGAGAGAGAGAGAGAGAGAGAGAACCGGTGAGGGTGACGACGGGCTGGATGCTGGCGTGTTTGGCTAGAGCTTGGATGCAGTCATCTCTGGTCATATGGAAGAGAAGGCATCTCTCAATCAAATTTTGCACCTGCAAATATATCATCGAAAAGATGAGCTTGAAAGAAGACAAGAAAACAGAGAGAAAGACTGTGGACCAAGTTGGACAAAACCCATCAAATTTCTTTGACAAGCTGAACTTAGCATAACGTACATGAATGCACCCACGTACCATTCTTATGTAGCTTTGAGGATGGCAGTGCAAACAGGGTTGGTGGGGGTGGTGGTGGCGGTGGCGGCGGCGGTCACGGTACACCATGTTTTTCCCTCCTCAAGCAGAAGTCAGATACGAGAGAGAGAGAGAGAGTGAAAAATTGCGAGGTTTGGAGATATTTTGGTGTAGGATATTTTGGTGTAGATACATATGCATGTGCGTGTCTATATATATATATTGTCTGGGTGCGTGCGTGAAGGAAGGAGGGCAGAAGAGAGGAGAGGAGACGGTGAATTTTATCCAATGGAGATCCAAGTGAAGGGCCGAAAGCGCACCAGCAATCTCACTCCACTTTCTCCCGCCCTCTTATCTCTTTCCATACTTGGAGTTGCTCTTCTTGGTGTCTTGAGAATTGGGTTACTTGGGTGACTAATTTGACTACCACCTTTCCATCTCTTCGCCAGTTGTCCTCTTCATCCAAAATGACCAGCTCATCCCCTTAGAATCTATCGTTTTTTTCCGCTTGGGCCGCCGCCAAGTGGGGTTGTACTTGACCCCATCTGTCGATTGATTAGATTTTTTTTTTGCTAAAACTGTCGATTGGATAGATGATTCGTTCTAAAAATGAACTCCATCTTTGTAATCAAGCAATGTGTCCTTTTACTTTGAAAATTTAGACCCGAGATTTATCTCCCCATACAAAGATTGATGAGAAGATTGAAATCCGATAGATATAATCGCAACATGTGTAAAAGAGAAGGGACCCATGTAACCGAGTAGATCCAACGTGCTTTCCATCCGTGGGGATTGTGATCATAGAGCTATAGTGTATGTGACATTGGAAATTTCATAATCACGTGATAACAACGAATTTAAAATAAATTATGAATTTGTTGAAAGAGTGCATAACGCTTGATTATATAATAAAATAAAATTTGATTCGAGGATATACTTCAGGTACCCTAGTCACCTTTGGGGTCAGAGATATTTTAAGATTTGAGATATTTTGATGTAGATTCGAGATAATTATTTTTTATATTATTGTGAGGTCTTTTACAAATAATAATTGATGGGTTATTGTATTCCCATTATTTACTCGCCTAAGCTTAAGTTTAGCCCGCGCAGAACCAAAAATATTCCTACTAAAATTTAAGAAAAAAAAAAAAAACACAAAAACCCATCTGAAACCCCAAATCTTCCCTTCCTCCAAATCTGAGCCTAATTCGGCCAACGCCGCCGCCGTCGCCGTCGCCGCCGTCGCCGTCGCCGCCGTCGCCGCCGCCACCACTGCCGTCGCCGGCCTCCGCATCCGCCGCCTCTGGGTGCGTCTCTCTGTCTCTCTGTTTCTCTCTGTCTCTCTCTCTCCGCGTCCTTCTGTGTCTCTTGCTCCCTCTGTCTCGCGACTCCGACAATCGCTGGACGGAGCTCGATGTCGCGCGAGTTCCGTCCAGTCTCCCTCAACGAGCCGCATCTCATCGGTGGCGGCGGCGAATTCAGCGGCTTTTTAACCCACGCGACGGAGCTCGAAGGCGTCGAGCTCCCCGCCGTCGACGGAGCTCGACGCTTGGAAGAGCTCCTCACCGTCCCCATCACAAGAAGAACTAATTTTCTCACATACGCGCTCTGTGCAACGTTATGCGAATTAGCTAATCCTCGTACTTCGTGCTCTTTCAGGTTATTATCCGTGTTGATTTGAGAAAAAAAAAATAGAATGTTGGCTCTTGACACCTCGAAGAAACTATCCTTCAATAAGCTCATTGCCGATGGAGATTTGGTGATCGTGTACGAGAGACACGACACGATGAAGGCCGTTAACGTGCGCGAGGGGTCGGTCTTCCAGAACCGTTTCGGCGTGTTCAAGCATTCCGATTGGATCGGGAAGCCCTTCGGGTCCAAGGTGCATAGCAACAAGAGCGGGTATGTCTACTTGCTGGCCCCGTCTCCGGAGCTGTGGACTCTGGTGTTGAGCCACAGGACTCAGATACTTTACATTGCGGACATCAGCTTCGTGACCATGTACTTGGAGATAGTTCCCGGTTGTCTGGTTCTCGAATCGGGGACGGGAAGCGGGTCGTTGACCACGTCGCTCGCGAGGGCCGTGGCTCCTACCGGTCATGTGTACACATTTGATTTTCATGAACAAAGGGCTGCATCTGCTAGGTAATATTCATGAATCCTCACTATGGTGGTGTACCTTACATGTTGGAAATGGGCTGTTTTGTTTGGTTTGATCTTTTGGTTCTTAGATTCTGTGGTTACATTTGCCAAACAAGTTTGGTGATCCCTTGTCATAAAAATTGAGGGTTTGGAAGGATCTGAGTTACAATATTGTTTGGATGCAAATGACTGATGAGTGACATAAATATCCTTTTATGTATTTAGAAATAAATACAAAACAAGGACATAAGTGAGAAAGAAGAAAAAAATTTGTTTATTAATATGCAAATCCCCCCTAGTCCCTCCATATTTGGAGGATTTAAAGAGACAATGTACATAAAAATGACTTTACCAATCCCTCCTATTCCTTGCCTGTTTTCTTTTTCCCTCCATCCAAACACAATTGTAGTTCTAGAATCATATCTCTTCCTTTCTTTTCCCTCCTTCAAAGTTCAAACTATGTGTTCAAGTAGAGCTGAACTAGCCGTGGGTGAAGTCATAGCTGTGTGATTGGACCTGAATTTGACAGTTTTTCTGATTTCAAAGCATCAAGAATTTGCTAGAGAGGGTTTCTGGTTTAATTGCTTTATAATCTCTAAACATGCTGGCTTGACTTTTTCCTTCTGATAGGGAGGACTTTGAGAGAACAGGAGTGAACAGCGTGGTCACTGTTGGGGTTAGGGACATCCAGGCAAAGGGATTTCCCGATGAACTTTGTGGCGTGGCTGATGCTGTGTTCTTGGACCTACCACAACCTTGGTTGGTCATAGCGTCGGCTGCGAAAATGCTGAAACCAGACGCCACTTTATGCTCTTTCTCACCCTGCATTGAACAAGTGCAGCGCTCATGTGAAGCACTCAGGACGAACTTTACTGGTAAATGCTCTCATTTCTACCAACCCTTCCATGTTTTGATGTTTTTTATGTATTAAGATGACTGTACAGGATTTCCCTTGTCTATAGGTAATTCATTTTGGTAGATATTCTTGCTGTAATTGTTTTTACTCTAACATTGATGGCCATGCATCCGTTTCATGTGTCTAGACATACGGACCTTTGAGGTGCTTCTTCGCACATATGAAGTCCGGGAGGTTAAGAACGATATTATGCGGGGTCAAGGAGGCAGCCCTAGTCAGCAGCCTCCATGCAAAAGAAGACAGACTAGTGAAGGAAGCAACAAGCAGGAGAGCATCAGTTCAACTATCATGGCAAGGCCTTCTGCTGAAGCCAGAGGCCATACCGGGTATTTGACATTTGCAAGACTCAAATGCTCCGCATAAAAGCTGCAGCAAGTCTGATGATACTTTGAAGAGTTATCAATTCTACATGCGAGTTTCATTTTTGGAACTGTTGCGGTTGGTTGTTGGCCTTGTCTGTTCTTGACTCAGGCAACCTAGAATTGCTACCGCCTGAATGATAGGTGTCGCAATATTTGCTCATAGAAGCTTGTTCGAAGGTGCTCTATGAAGAAGCTCAGGAGTTGCATCTCAAATCAGTGAACTTTTGCCCCAAAGAGTTTTCTCCTTTATGCCAATCCTCATCTGTGGACTACTTTCATTTCGAGTTCTCATGTGCGATATCTATGGTTTCACGAAGCCGAAGTTGGGGAACTTCACAGTTGATGAAAAGAAACCGTGATTCTTAGGTCTCTTTCGTCCTCGTTCTGATATCTAACGTTAACTGGTCTAGCGATCTAATGTCTGTTAAGACCTGGACATGTGATGCCAATGACAAGTTTGACATGAAATTTTGTCTCAAGGGCGTGCGCTTTGTGAAGGCTTATACCTATACCCTTCACGTGATCGAGATCGATACAAGTCCATATATCCTTCGAGAAGGAAGACAACTTCCCAAGTCTATGCTTTACCTTCTAGGACGCGCTAGGTTTATGATGGAAAATTTTGATTTCCAATGTTGTGGCTTTTCCCCCAATGCTAGTCAGGCATTATATCAAGGTCATGGGTAATACATACACGCGGATTGATCATTTTAATGTTTAGCTTATGTTTATTCATCGAGCTAAAGAAATATTTAGTGTTTCCACTGCCAAAGAAAAAGGAACAGAATCGAAGAGGTGCCCAAACAGATTTATCTCTGTAGATTCACAAAGAATCGAGAAGAAAATAAGGGTGACTTTTATAGTTTCATGGTGGGCCGGTAATGGATATACGCATAGCATCTTCCCGAGCCTTTCATGGTGGGCCGAGATCCATGCATTTCCATAGTTCCTTCGAGACGGAAGACAACTTCCCAAGCTTTTGCTTTGCCTTTCGGCCGATTGTACCAATTGATCAACCAAAAGAGATATTAGGTGCACTGAACGCATCGGGTCAAAGGTGGCTCACTTGATCCTGCAAATGGTACACGATGCGCATAAGGTGTGCTGGAGTTTTCCTCACGAAGAAGTTCGAATGTGATATCGTTGCAGTTTCCTTGGCCCTTGGGATCGATCCTCACAGACAGGAGCAAATAATCAAGGGATTGGAGATCGAGAGCAATTCGTTAGCTTACAGTCCATGGGATTCGAAGAAACAAATTTATCAAAGGAAACGTAATGAGAAATCAGGCCAGTTCCAAAGAATGCCGCATAGGTCTCAACAATTTGAGAGTCTTGATCTATAGTGAGCTTGATTAGATCGGTTAGGTCTAATCATACAAAGACAGAGTCTAGCAAAGCTCTTCCGAACAATGGGTTCAATGGGCCTCATGACCCAATAGTACCCTGATTAAGGGTCGGCTGTGATGGGACACTTGAAAGCTCTAAAAGTGGGAAATGTCCCCATGTTTCCATGCAAATTGTCTTGTCCTTGACAAATTTTCCCAGTTGGAAATGCATTTCGAGCTTCAGACTTGTATAAGCTAGTTGACCATCCGTAGCTAAAGCTTTGAAAGTTCAAACTGCAGTAATATCATATCATCTTTGCTAAAGTTACAACGTCTTTTACTCATGTGTGCATCCACGAGGTTAAAAGGGTCGAACAATAGTTCATTTGTAGAGAATTGCCAACTTGCAAAATCCTATAATCACTCACTAGCATTTCACCTTGACCAAAGTAGACAGGGTTTGATCTTTAACCGAAAAGAGAGGTAATAATAAGAACTCTCGCACTTACATTGTGAAACGTTTTTGGTGACATTGTGAATAGTTCTTAATCGGCCCCCTTGTAGAAATTACGTGCATACGTTTTGCTCAAATAAATCTTCAATTCCCTTACCTTTTCCTTTTCTTGTTTTCACCTAGCGAATTAGTTAATTGTCGAGAGATAGTGAAGAAGCCTTGATCCGTCACCGAAGATGTCGAGGTAAACACAGAATAACTAAGCTAAACACATGCATATGTAATAATATTAGACCTCTCCCAGGCCAATAACATAAACCCTGACATAGTCATAGACACCCTTACAAACGGTTATATGGGAATAAAACAAAAGTCTCTATCTCACATACGATTACTAGAACAACACCATCAGGTCTCAGATAAGCAAACTGGGAAAACACAAAGATAACATTTGAGAAGCAGCTACAATGCAAGGGTCTTCTGTTACCTACCAGGGTATTTATGAATTCGGAATTAGCCACTTCGGCGGGCCATCATCTCGAGAAAGTCTAGCTCCTTAATCTCCTTACGTTGATGGTCATTACAGTGCTGATGGCGACGGTGGTGGTGGCGATCACCATCCATCTCCAAGCTCATCTTGAGGTCCAACTCATGTTCATTGTCAAATCTCTCTTCACTCCCATTACCATCGCCTTCACTCAGCACCTGATGATAATGAAGGTCCTTCACCCGATAAAGCCCAAGATTCCCATTCCCATCAACCATCGGAAAACCAAAGCAACTGCTGGATGGCCTCTGAGCTGGCGGCAGCGGCAGCTGGTGGTGGTGGTGGCGATCCGACGCCTGCTGGGGGCAGTTAGTCGCTTCAGGCTGCACGTCCGAGCCACGGGAAATGACTGCCGCCGACAAAGACAACGATAGCTTCTTGGTCTGGTGGCGGCGATGGTCGCGACCACGAGCCGATGCTGACCATTTTGGAGGAGATGGAGTGGTGACACTCCTAATATAATTTTGCAAGAGATTGGAGTTGTTGTTATAGGGAAGTAACTTGCGCTTAGAGAATTGCCTGCGCTTGGTAGCATTCCAGTGGTTCTTGATTGTGTTTTCAGTCCTTCCAGGTAATCTCTTGGCTATCTCGGCCCATTTGTTCCCAATCTGCTTGTGTGCCTGAATTAGGATCTTGTCTTCTTCGATGCTCCACGAGTCCTTCTGCTAAGAAAATGATGAGAGCCCAACAAAGAAGAAGAAGAAAAAGAGGAGGAGAAGAGATAGAAAAACTTATTCTAGGGTTTTGTGAGTTTGGGTCTTTGGCGAAGTCTTTAATTTTATAGTGGATCTTGATTACACTTCATTAATACAATCAATCGTAATTTGATTTTCAGTTTTAATTGATCAAATAGATTACAAAGTATGTGTATTTACACGCAGGTCTAAAATGTTTATATATATATTAATTGATCAAATAGATTACAAAGTATGTGTATTTACACGCAGGTCTAAAATGTTTATATATATATAAAGGTGAAGTTTCTTTGAGGGAAAAAATGAGGAAAATTCATAATAAATGCATTTACACCCTTTTAATATAATTATGGATCTTATTCATGTAAGGCTTAATTGTGATATATTCCTAATTTTTTGGGGGTGATTTAATAGGTATATGTCGTGTGTTAAATGGAAGAATTTGGAGTTCATAAAATGGATTTAACCTGTTGTTTTGTTCTTAATTAGCTGCTGAGCTAGGGCATGGAAGTGCATGAAGGGTTCATGCAATTTGGTCACCACTAGAAGTTAGAAAAAAACATTTATGATTGATAAGAATCAAAGCATCTTTTGAGATTTTTACAGCCCTGCTTATAAGGCATGGTTTCCAAAAAATCCGGTCCGCATGGGCACTTGTCGCCATGCATGCTTGTGAGTTGTTGCATATGGACTAAACGACGCAGGATAGGTAACGTATTGGCAAACTTTAAGAAGTAAGTCAGCCAAAAACTTAATAACGACAAAAAAAAGGGATAGGGTCACGAGTTCCACCCGCTAGACGGCACACGTCGGTAAAGATAAGGAAATAAAGTCATATTTCCGTGGAAAGGTAATAAAAGAAATACATATACTCAATAATGGTGTGTATGAATGGTGCGATTATGGCATGAATTTATGATAAATCACGATGGAAAATCACAATGAGTGTTGAATGCTCATATTCTTTAATCTATATGCATATCACATATCTGTCTCTAGATATACTTCCCATGTATGCGATTAATTTATCAAATCTAACTGTGATTCTTTTTATGAATACAAGACTAAATGAGAAGGATGGTCAATGTAAATTCATATAATGGAAGCTATGGTGGTAGAGTCTAAAGCAAGAACAAATTATGGGCAAGAAAAAACATATTTTTAAAGGAAAAAAGGGGAAAAAATACCTTGATATCAGCTCTGAGATGATTATGCCATCTCTCCCTACATTGTTTTCCAACTCTTCCGTTGAGCATCTGGGCAATTTGAGCCCACCTTTTTGTTCCATGCATCTCAACCAACATCGTCAAGCGACTACAGAAAAGATATACGGACAATGAATAATTTTTTTCGTCACATAGTACCCCCAAAATTTCGGAAAAAAACAAGCCCAGAAACCCTAACGAGGAAAATAAGCTAAAAACTCAGATATCAAAAGACAAACATTCAAAACCAGAAAAAAAAAATTAGATGAAGGAGAAGAAGCAAGCCAAAAAAGGGTGTTTGTCATGTCTTAACCTGTCTTCTTCAGGAGTCCACTGGCCTTTGACGACCAAGGGCTCCTTGTCAGCCTCGTCATTCTCATTCTCTCTCTTCTTTTTTCCCATTGTTGGCTTCGGCTGCTGGTGCGGCAGACCTATCACCACCTCTCTCTTGCTCCAATCATCACCACCGTCGTCCCGCTCATGACCCCATTGGCGGTCCGAGCTCACGCCACCCGAAGAGAACTCCTCACCGAGTTTTTCGTTCAGCGATCCAAGGTCATTCAAGTCGAGCAAAGGCATGATCTGGCGGTCCACCGTCACCGGATCGTGATAATGACGGTGATCGACCGGACCGTAGTCAAAGAGGCTCTTGACCTCAAGCTGGCCATGCACCGCTATGCTGTAGCTGTCGTCGCTGCTCTTCAGTGAGGTGTCCACGGATGGAGGAGAAGGAGGGGTCGGCGGCGGCGGGGGGGCACAAAGGTCGAACCCTCTGGGGAACATCGTGGCCGGTTGAGGATCTGGGGATCGGTGATGAAATGGCAGGTCGAGCTGTGGGGTCGAGTCCACCCGAGAGAAAGGGTTCGACGAGGAGCCTTCGATGGTGAAGCCATGGTCATGGTCGAGAATGTCGGGGTTACGGCTGTGGAGGAGCTTGTAGAAGAAGCCATTCACGTTTACAGGAGGCGGAGGAGGAGTCTCGAGGTCAAGAGAGAAGCCGTCCCGGGGTTTCGGGAGGGAATTTTCTTGGAAAATGGCCGGAGGGA